TTCAGTCAGGAAAGTTGATGTGTCCAGCTCCATTTTTCATTTTCAAGATTGCTTTGGCTATTCATGATCTATATGTTTCCATACAAATTGTGAGATTCTTTGTTCTAGTTCTTTAAAAATATACCATCAATAGTTTGATAGGGATTGCACTGATTCTGTAGATTGCTTTAGGCAATATAGTCATTTTCACAATATTGATTCTTCCAGTCCAGGAACATGGTATATCTCTCCATCTGTTTGTGTTATCTTTGATTTCTTTTATCAGTGTCTTATAGTTTTCTGCATACAGGTCCTTCATATCCTCAGGTAGGTTTACTCCTAGGTATTTTGTTCTTTTTTTGCAATGGTGAATGCGACTGTTTCCTTAATTTCTCTTTCTTATTTTTCACTGTTAGTGTAAAGAATGCTATGGATTTCTGTGTAATAATTTTATATCCTGCAACTTTCCTATACTCATTGATTATCTCTAGTAATTTTCTTGTGGCATCTTTGCATGGTGTATCTTTTACCAGCCTTTTACTTCAAGCCTACCTCTATTTTGGGGGGACTTCCCAGGTGGCACTAGTGGTAAAGAAACTGCCTACCAATGCACGAGACATGAGAGATGCAGGTTTGATCCCTGGGTCTGGAAGATCCCTTAGAGGAGTGTATGACAATTTACTCTGGTATTTTTGCCTGGAGAATCCCATGGGCAGAGGAGCCTGATGAGCTACAGTCAATAGGGTCACAAAGAGTCAGATATGACTGAAACAGCTTAACACATAACACACATGCCATGTCATCTGCAAGTGGTGACAGTTTTATTTCTTTTTTTCCAATCAACATTCCTTTTATTTCTTTTTCCTTGATTTCTGTGGCTAGGACTTCCAAAAATATGTTGAATATAGTGGCAAGAATGGGCACCCTTGTCTTGCTCCTGATCTTAAAGGAAATGCTTTCAGTTTTTCACCATTAGGAATAATGTTTGCTGTGGGTTTGTCACATATGGCCTTTATGATGTTGAGATATGTTCCTTCTATGCCTATTTTCTGGAGAGCGTTTTTAATCATAAATGGATGTTGAATTTTGCAAAAGCTTTCTCTGCATCTACTGAGATGATAATATGGTTTTTATCTTTCAATTTGTTAATATGGTGTATCATATTGATTAATTTGCATATACTGAAGAATCCTTGCATCCCTGGGATAAAGCCCACTTGATCATGATGTATGATATTTTTAATGTGCTATTGGATTCTCTTTGCTAGAATTTTGTTGAAGATTTTTCCATCTATGTTCATCAGTGATACTGGCCTTTTATTTTCTTTTTTTGTAGCATCTTTGTCTGATTTTGGTATCAGGGTGATAGTGGCCTCATAGAATGAGTTAAAAAGTTTTCTTTCCTCTACAATTTTCTGGAAAAGTTTGAGCAAGATACATGTTAGCTCTTCTCTGAAATTTTGGTAGAATTAGCCTGTGAAGCCATCTGTCCCTGGGCTTTTGTTAAAAGATTTTTTATTGCAGTTTTGATTTATGTGCTTGTGATTAATCTGTTTATGTTTTCTATTTCTTCCTGGTTGAGTTTTGGAGGTCATACTTTTACAAGAATTTGTCGATTTCTTCAAGTTTGTTCATTTTATTGGCATATAGCTGCTCATAGTAGTCTCTTATGATCCTTTGTATTTCTATATTGTCTGTTGTAACTTCCTTTTCATTTCTGATTTTATTGATTTGAGTCTTCTCCCTTTTTTCTTGATGAATCTGGCTAATGCTTTTCAATTTTGTTTATCATCTCAAAGAACCAGCTTTTAGTTTTATTGATCTTTGCTATTGTCTACATTTCTTTTTCATTTATTTTTGCTTTGATCTTTACAATTTCTTTACTTCTACTAAGTTTGGCGTTTTTGTTCTTTTTCAGGTTGCTTTAGGTGTAGGGTTAGGTTATTTATTTAATGTTTCTCTTGTTTCTTGAAGTAGGCTTGTATTGCTATAAACTTCCCCCTTAGCACTGCTTTTCCTTCATCCCGTAGGTTTTGACTTGTGTTTTCATCATCATTTGCTTTCAAACATTTTTTTATTTCTCCTTTAATTTTTTCAGTGACCTCTCATTTATTCAGAAGTGTATTGTTTGACCTCCTAGTGTTTGTGTTTTTAATAGTTTTTTCCTGTAGTTGATGTCTAATCTTATAGCGTTATGATCAAAAAAGATGCTTGAAATGATTTAAACTTTTAAAAATATATTGCAGCTTGATTTATGACCCAAGATGTGATATATCCTGAGGAATTTTCCATGTGTATGTTAAGAAAAGTGAAATCTATTGTTTTCGGAAGAAATGCCCTGTAGATATCAATTAGATCTAACTGGTCCAATGTATCATTTAAAGTTTGTGTTTTCTTATTAATTTTCTGTCTGGATCATCTGTCCATTGGTGTGAGTGAAGTGTTAAAATCCCCCATTATTATTGTGTTACTGTTGATTTCCCCTTTAATAGTTGCTGACATTTCCCTTGTGTATTGAGACGCTCCTATGTTTAGTGTGTGTGTGTGTGTGTGTGTGTATAAATAATTGTTTTATCTTCTTCTTAGATTAATCCCTTGATCATTATATATTGTCTTTTCTTGTCTCTTATAGCAGTCTTTATTTTAAAGTCTATTTTATTTGATATGAATGTTGCTACTCCCACTTTCTTTTGATTTCCATTTGCATGGAATAAGTTTCTCAAGCCCCTCACTTTCAGTCTGTATGTGTCCCTAGGTCTGAGGTGGGTCTCTTGTAAATAGCATATAAAAGAGCCTTGTTTTTGTATCCATTCAGCCAATCTATGTCTTTTGGTTGGAGCATTTAGTCCATTTACAAAAGGTAATTATTGATATGTATGATCCTATTACCATTTGCTTTGTTGTTTTTGGATTTGCTTTTACAGGTTATTTTTTCTCTTGTGTTTCCTGTCTAGGGAAATTCCTTTAGAATTTGCTGTAAAAGTGGTTTAGTGGTGCTGTATTCTCTTAACTTCTGCTTGTCTGGAAAATTTTTTATTTCTCCTTCACATCTGAATGAGATAGTTGCTGGATGGAGTAATCTTGATTGTAGGGTTTTTTTTCCTTTCATCACTTTAAGTATACCCTGCCACTCTCCTCTGGCCTGCAGAATTTCTGTTGAAAGATGAGCTGTTAGCTTTATGAAAATCTCCTTGTATGTTATTTGTTGCTTTTCCCTTGCCACTTTTTTTTTAATTTTAAATTATTTTTATTGGAGTATGGTTCATTTACAATATTGTGTTAGTTTCTGCTGTACAGAAAAATGGAGCAGTTCTATATACACACCTTGCCACTTTTAATATTTGTTCTTCTTAATTTTCATTGGCTTGATTAATATGTGTCTTGGCATGTTTCTCCTTGGGTTTACCCTTATGGGACTCTCTGGGCTTCCTTGAGTGAGTGGCTATTTCTTTTCCTATGTTAGGGAAGTTTTTGACTATAATCTCCTCAAATATTTTCCCATACCGTTTCTTTCTCCCTTCTTATTCTGAGACCCCTATAATTCCAATGTTGGTTCACTTAATGTTGTCCCAGAGTTCTCTGAGACTGTTCTTGTTTCTTTCGATCCTTTTTTCTTTATTCTGCTCTGCTTCACTTATTTCCACCACTCTATCTTCCAGCTCACTCACCCATTCTTCTGCTTCAGTTATTCTGCTATTGTTTCCCTCTAATGTATTATTAATCTGTTATTGTGTTGTTCATTGCTTATTTTCTATTCTTTATTTCTTCTAAGTTCTTGTTAGACATTTCTTGTATGTTTTTGATCCATGCCTCCAGTCTATTTATCCGTGCTTTCATTTTATTTCCAAAGTTTTGGATCATCTCTACAATCATTACTCTGAATTATTTTTCACATAGACTGCCTATTTCCTCTTCATTTGCTTTGCCTTGTGAGTTATTACCATATTCCTTCTACTGCTGCATATTTCTCTGTCTTTTCATTTTTGTTTAATTTACTGTGCTTGGAGTCACCTTTCTACAGGCTGGAAGGTCTTAGTTGCTCTTAATTGTCAAGCCTGCCCCCACCCCGGGTGGGTTTGGGCCAGTGCCTTGTGAAGGTTTCCTACTGGGGAGTTTGTGTCTGTGTTCTGGTGAATGGAGCTGGATCTTGACTTTCTGAAAGACAGTGCCATGTCCAGTAAAGTGTTATGGGATGTCAGTGGGCTTGGCATGACTTTGGGTAACCTGTCTGCTAATGGGCAGAGTTGAGTTCCTATTTTTCTGAAGGTTTGGCATGAAGTGTCTGGCACTGGAGCTTGCTGGCCTTTGGGTGTGTCTTGGTCTTAGTGTTGAGATGGAGGCTTTGGGGAGAGCTATCACTGATTAATGTTCCATGGGTTTGGGAGCTCTCTGATGATCCAAAACCTTGGACTTGGATCTCTCAACTCAAGGGTCTAGGCCCAACCCCTTACTGTAGCAGGAAGATTTCACAGGCCACACATCATAGAAGACAAAACCCCAAGACTAATGGTGAAATCAACACAAACAGCCCAGAGCACTCAAAGAAATTCACACACTCATTCTGAAGAGACTAACTTCCCTTTTTAGAAGTGTAGGTTCTTCTGTCAGTGTTCAGGAGGTATTCTGTAGGAGTTATCCCATATGCAGATGGATTTTTAATGCATTTATTGGGAGGAAGTTGAGCTCCCTGTCTAATTCCTCCATCACCCTGAAAGTCCTCAGGAATCTAGCTGTAACTTCTTATATTTATGTGTTATTCAGTAGTATCTTTAAAAGGTAAGCAAATACCTGGGCCCTGTTTCTCCCTGTAGATGCCTGCATTTACAGATTTGAGGTTAGCATTTTGCATTGCAATCTCAGTTTGCTCATGAATTCAAATGATGAAAATTTCCAATTTTCTAGCTTCTTTTCCTTGGTATATAAATGTTAGAGAGAGACTCTCTTAAAGTTTACATCTCTGTGATGATAACTTAGTATCATGTGAATCTGAGGATAAGATTTGAAGCTCTGTTTGTCTTCCAGCATCCATACCACAGTTTACAAATTCCCCCACGATGGTGATCATGGTGGGTTTACCAGCTCGAGGAAAGACCTACATCTCAACAAAGCTCACGCGCTATCTCAACTGGATAGGAACACCAACTAAAGGTATGTCTCTGAAACCCTTTGTTCTACAGCCCTCTATAGAACACTGATGGAGTATAGAGTAAGGTAGCTAATCTCAAAAGAGCAAAACCACTAGTACAGGAATGTCTCAAACCACTATTAACAGTACTAAGACTATTACTAATATTATTACTGCTGCTACTGCTACTACTACTACTATAACTGCTACTACTATTTCTACTACTGCTACTATCACCTTCACAAATTTTACAATTTCTTCAGTACATATCCAATGCCAAATCTTATGCTAGGGGCTAAGTATAGGAAAATTAATAAGATTAAATATCTGTTTCAAAGGAGGTCTATTTTGTAAGACCTCAAAATCACTCTATCAATAACATATTACTCTTATTACCATTTTTATTAATATTACATCAATAATACTATTTTATTAGCATTATCATTTCTTTACAACCTTAAGGTTCCCTTCAGAACATATGGATGTATAGAGTCAAGCACATTGAAACCCCAGCCTGGAGGCCCCCACAAGCTCTTCAGTATAGCAGGGCACTTTAGCTCACCTCTCCAGTCCAGAAAGTGTCCTGTCTCCAAGCCTCTCCTTAGGTCTGTGCCTTGCTTCTCCCCCTCTCCAGCAGGAAGTGACCCTGCCTCTTTCCGCCTCCAGAGGGGTCTCCTTCACAGGCTGTCAGCCTCCTCCCACACTCCCTGCTTCCAGCTTTCTTTTCTCCCCCATGTGATCTCTTTTCTGCTTACTATCTCTTATTCAGCAATCACTCTCTTTTTTCTCCTTTTGATTTCTCTATCCCCATCCTGTATCCCCATTCCTATTTGGCTCCTCTGTTCTCCCTAGGACCATGCTTCTCTGGGCTCCCACACCAATGCTTTCTACAGCCCCCTCTATCCAACACTAATTACATAGTGTGTTGTGTGTCTGGGTCTCTCGCCCCAGGAGCTGCTCTGGGGTAAGAGATTAGATCTTATTCATTTCTATTGCTCAAGTAGGACAAAATTAAGACATTTGGAGTCTCTAAACGCTAAAAGTTAGGGTGCCCCTGCATCACATGTAATTCAGAATAAAAACAGTAAATGTAAAAACGTCTACCAATTTTTTTAATTTATCCCCTAATGACTATGTTAATACTTTTAATGCATATCCACTTGGCTGAAAACTTTTACTGGGGCTGTGTCTTTACTGGTACACTAAGAAAGTGCTTAGCCTGTCTCTCTTATGGAATGGAGCACTGCTCCCCAGTGCAAAAAAAGTTCTTCTCAGGCATTCATTTTCTCAGTCATTAATTATTTGTTGAGCACAGTTGTGTCAAGGCCCTTGTTGGATGTTGGGCAAAAAAAAACAAGTAAGATACAACCCTTGCCCTAAAAGAACTCACATCTATCCTTAAGCTCTAAAACTCCCATGTGGGAGGAACTAGTATTATCATCATCCCACAGTTGATGAAACTAACACTCAAGAGTTGATGCATCTTGTCTGAAGGCACATGGTCACCATGTGATGGAACACAACACATGTATGTAACATCAACCAAGGTGATGGAACACAAGGTGATGGAACCAAGATACGAACCCACATCTGGTTGATTCCAAAGCCTTACACTCACTGTGTCTGACACTGACACTCACTGTCTGATACTTGGCACTACTGATGGGAAGAGGAGCGAACCCACATTGGCCCTGTACTCCCCTCCATGTTCTTCCTCTCATTTCTCTTGACCATCCCAACACCCTATCTATCTGCCCCCTTCCCTCCCTCTCTCCAGTCTTCTCCTCTCCTTCTCCTATTTCTTCTTTCCCTTCATTTACTTTCTGTTTTTCTCATTCACTGGTGAGTTTCCCACTGGTCCTCCATGTGCCAAAACCCATACTATGCACTGGACATACAAAAGTAGATGATATTCACACCCTGTCCTTAAAGATTTCTCCATTTGGCTGGAGTGCATAAGAATACATGTCACTGAAGAATCCCAGAGCAGGGTACTGAGGGTCTCACAGAAGAAATTACCACCTGGAAGGCAGTGAAATCTTCCATATGTGGTATATTTGAGCTGGGTGGGTCTTGTGGGGGGAATAGGACATTGGCAGAAGAGAAGGGGAGAAGGAATAGTTCTTGTAGGACTGCAGGCTCTGAGGAGCCTCTGCTGAGTGTAGGGGCACATGTGATGGTGGCAGATGGGTCTCTGCTCCTATGCACCTGCTTCCCATCTGCTCCACTCACACAGAGACCCTCAGTGTCATGTTTCAAACACATAGCTGCCCATATCTATAGCTACCAAGGGTTCCCTTGACTGGCAGGTTTAAATCCAGGCTCCTTAGCCTATCATTCATTCAAGGCTCTCCATGATTGGCCTCTGCCAGGCTCACAGGCCTCACTCACAATTGGATGACTCATATTCTGCATTCTGCCAATGCCACACCTTTGCTCAAACTGTTCCTCTACCTGGAATGTCTTTGTTCCCCTCTCCCACACACCATGCCTGCCTATAAAAGGTCTGCCTTCCTATAAAGACTGGTACAAATGCTGCTTTCTCCAAAATAAGCTTTTGAGACTACTCTAAGTTTAGTTAGTCTTTCCTCCCCCCTTACTCTTTTGCATGACTCTGTCAGAGCACTTAATAAACTGGATGAGAGCTCTCTGTTTACTGGTTTACTCTCTGTCCTGCCTTCTGGATGGTGAGCTTCTTGTGGATCCATCATGCAAATCAGATTCATCTCTGAGACCCCAGAACTCATGTCCTGATTTACAAAGTAGACATGAGAAAGTATTTGTTGGATGAATGAATGAAATAGTACATTACATGTTTGCCTATTATCCCCTTGTTCCCCCTTTCCCTCCTTCCTCTCTGGTTTTTACCACTACAAATGAGAAAGTGTCGCCTAAAAAGTTCAACAAATCTAGGTTCTCTATACTGATGCATAAAATATGATAGCATTGGACTAGGTATCAGAAGGCCAAGTCTAGTTATGTCCCCAGCTTGCTCAATGTTTGACCCTTGGTTTACTCCCTGGATCCCAGTTTCTTTATCTTTCCAATGGAGTGGGGCATTAAAAGCTTTGTAGTTTATGATAAAATGGAATAGTAGAAAGATCACCAGCTTTGGAACCAAACAGACCTGTGTTTGAATCCCAGCTCTCCACTATGAGAATTACTTCCTTTCTCTGAAATTTCATTTTCTCATTTTTAAAATGGAAACGGCGATTACTACTTTTTAAGGTTGTTGTGAGGAGTAAGTGAGCTGGACGCCATAATTTGAGGCTTTGTATACATGTTATATAATTAGAAACTCTACCTTCTTTTACCTCTGAGATCCCTCCCAGAGAGGATTTTTTTTTTTTTTTTTTTTTGCCACCGGGATCTTCCCAACCACTTCACCAGGGCTTCCTGCTTTCAGTGTTTAATTTAGGCCAATATCGACGAGAGGCAGTGAGCTACAAGAACTACGAATTCTTTCTTCCCAACAACATGGAGGCCCTACTTATAAGGAAGTGAGTACCTAACATTTTAAAAACCTTTGCTGCCCCCTGGCTGAGGGAGTCCTCTATTCAGATGAGAGGGGAGAAGAGCAGAGCAATTTGAGTTAGTAAGGAGAGCATCTAGACTCTCAAAGCAGAGTTAAGACAACCCTTACACTATATTAATCAAAGTCTGTCTCTGGTCATATCCATCCCTTGCTTAAGAACTTTTAACAGTTTCCTACTTCTGAGAGGAAAGAGTAGAAATTTAGCCTAGCATTTAAAATAAGAGTCTTAGTAGTTTGGCCCACTCTGATCTCATCCATTCAACCTCAAGGTGTTCGTCCTCTACAAGACTCTGAACACTTTCAGAACAGTGCCTGAGTCTCATTTATTGATCTACATCCTCATAATGAAACCCAACAAAGAAAGAATAATCACTAAACAGATTTTTGCCAAAAGCGTAAATACATTTCCATCATGTTACCTGTGTTTGCCCTGTTATATATGCCAGGAATGCCTTCTGCTTCACAGACTATGTATTCAGGCTCTTCTTGGGTTCAAGACCCAATTCAGTTTGAGCACTATTAGTTCAAGGTTTGGAGCCCTTAATAGTATGGCTCGGTCATTAGTCTACTTTTCCTGGGTATGTTATGCCCCAAAATGTCTACACAGAGCCATTTTCAACTGTGTGACTTCTCTGTGCTTGTCATAGTTCTTAGAACATAGAACACCCTTTGTAGATATTCAACAGATGAATAATTTAATGTATGACATATGAGATATAGTGCAAAAGATAATGCAGAATAGAGAGGAACCCATCTTGAACATAGTAGCTGTCTCTGTTTCTTTCTTCATCTTTTTCAGGCAGTGTGCCCTAGCAGCCCTGAAAGATGTTCATAGCTATCTCAGCCATGAGGAAGGTCGTGTTGCAGTAAGGAAATTTGCATTTTCTTTTGGGTTTCTGCTGGGATGGAGAAGAGCTAATATATTCTGAGTGTTTATTATGCTCTATACATTATTCTAAGCACTTTGCATGTATTAATTTATTCCACCCTCCCCCACAAGATAAGTATTTTTTTACTATACTCCATTTTATACCCCAGAAAAATGTAGTGCAGAAAGACCAAATAGTTAAATATTTTCCCAAAGGGTAGGCCAGAACTGGAATACAGGTTGTATAGCTCCAGAATCTATACTCCTAACCAATATAATCTACCACTCTACTCCCAAGAATTCAGCAGGACTACACTAGAATTTGACTGCAATACAAAGATTTTTGAGTCCTAGAGATTTACCTAAACACCTAGTCAATTTAATCTCATAAACCTCTGATATAGAATTTGGAAATTCTAAAAAGGCTTCAAAGAACTCCAAAATGATAGGGAGGGAAGAAGCTTCACCTAGGAGCTGAGAAAATCAGTTTCAACTCTGCTTTGTCAGTAAGTCTCAGTGGCCTTGGGTAAAAGAAACCCTTCTTCTAAGTCTCAGCTATTTAACCTGTAAAATGGCCCTAATAGAATTCCACAATTTTCCTCTGGCCTTATTATGCTTACAGAGTCTACTACATTTCTGGGCAGACAACAAAGGCTCAATGAATGCTTGAGAAATTGATATAAGTCATTTCAAATCCTTCAAAACCCTGGTCAGGTTTTATCTCCTCCTTGACGCTGTTTGCTTAACATAGGGATGGTCAACGAGTAGGCATAGATTTAAAGCAGAACTAGATTTAAAGCAAACCAATCTCATCGTGTGCCTCTAGGTTTTTGATGCCACCAACACTACCAGAGAACGACGGTCACTGATTCTGCAGTTTGCTAAAGAACATGGTTACAAGGTAGAGTAACTCTTAAACTCTTATCTAGATCCTACTCATCTATGAGCAAACCCCAAAGAAAGCCAAACCAAGGGACAGAGATGCCAAATCAGTTACCATAGGCTCAGCATTGTAATTGAGTTATAGGGCTTTCCAGATCAGAGTTAGAAACATAAAAACAGAACATAACAGGAAAGAACAGATGCCACATAAGGCATTACTAAGAAGCTGACACAGTTGGGTGGGTATGAGGAAGGAGGAGATGGAATCACTACAATTTAGGGCCAATCTGCCTCATAAAACTCAGAATTCTAAAAGTACCACTATATGAAATTACATTGTCAGAAATGCCTCTAAAGATGGCTCAGAGTCATTGAGAAGAGGTCAAGTTATGTTTAGTTCATACCAAACATAATTCCTTGCTGAAATCTCTCTTTTGTTTCTCGTATAGGTCTTTTTCATTGAGTCCATTTGTAATGACCCTGATGTCATTGCAGAAAACATCAGGGTAAGGAGCACCAGTCACCTTTTCTTTCTTTCTTTCTTTCTTTTTTTTTTTAGTTGAAGCTTTTTTTTTTTTTCATTTATTTCTATTAGTTGGAGGCTAATTACTTTACAATATTGTAGTGGTTTTTGCCATACATTGACATGAATCAGCCATGGATTTACATGTGCTCCCCATCCCAATCCCCCCTCCCGCCTCCTTCCCCATTCCATCCCTCTGGGTCTTCCCAGTGCACCAGCCCTGAGCACTTGTCTCATGCATCCAACCTAGGCTGGTGATCTGTTTCACCCTTGATAGTATACTTGTTTCAATGCTATTCTCTCAGAATATTCCATCCTCACCTTCTCCCACAGAGTCCCAAAGTCTGTTCTGTACATCTGTGTCTCTTTTTCTGTTTTGCATATAGGGTTATCGTTACCATCTTTTTAAATTCCATATATATGTGTTAGTATACTGTATTGGTCTTTATCTTTCTGGCTTTGTCTCAGATTTGGATCATGCCTAAAAATATCTCTGTAGTTAAAGGAGGTGTTTTTCCGTGAGCTTCTCTTCCCACTTCCTATAGGAAGTAGTCCTTCACCATCCTGACATATAATGATTCTGTGAAATTCTTCTTAGTACTGGAGAGAGGAAACTAAGGTTCCAAGGGGAGAAGTAAGTTTTCAAGAGTTCATACAGACAGGAAGAGACAAAACTGGGACTGAACCTCAGGTCTGTCTATCTGTCTTGAAAGCTTTTTTTCTGCCCCACAATTTGTATCAAATTTATCACTGCTCTTAGATTCCAGGCATGTGGTCTAGATTTAGAACACTCGCCACATTTTATTGTTTCCTATTTCATTAAATTGCTGTATCTTGGGGACAGAGGAGACCTTAAAGATCACCTCCTTCAGTGTTTCATCAGAAACTTGAAATCTTAGCTAAATGTTTGTCTAGATTTTCTTTTTGTACCTCCAATGATGAGGCTTACTACCTTCATTAAGTGCAGTCCAATCAAGCTGAAATCTGACTCCCTATAATCTCCACTCATTGGTCCTATTTTTGCCTCTTGAGGCATAGAATATGTCCAAATCCTCTCTTTCATTTTCATCCACCCACCTGTCCATACATTTGTTGATTGAACATAAATTGAATCCAAACACCTGGACTGAACCATTCTGGGTATTAGAGACAGAAATAGATGAAGGAGAGTCCAGCCTTGAACTCACAGTCTAATGAGGGAGACTGACAATGTAATAGATATAACTCTGTGAGATCAGTGCTGAGATAAATGAACAAAGGAGGCTGTGGAAGGCTGTTGAGGAACTAACCTTGCATAGGAAAGCTTCTTAATGAAGATAGCAGTTGACCTGCATATTGAAGAATGAATAGGTATTTAGGAGGTAAAGAATGGAAAATAAGGGAATGGCATATACTAAGTACGGTGTCTTGGGGGAACTAGAAATAGCTTAGGTTGGCTAAAGTAAAGTGTGTGGAGGACTAGAAGAGCAATGGGAGATGAGGATGAAGAGATCATTCAGGGCACAATCATAACAAGCCATGTGTCACCTGCTAAAATATTTCATGCATGCATGCTAAATTACTTTAGTCATGTTCAATTTTTTGCAACCCTATGGACTGTAGCTCACCAGGCTCTTGTGTCTATGGGGATTCTCCAGGCAAGAATACTGGGGTGGGTTGCCATGTCCTCCTCCAGGGGATCTTCCTGACCCAGGGATCGAACCTGTGCCTCTTATGTCTCCTGCATGGGCAGGTGGGTTTTTACAACTAGTGCCTCCTGACAAGCCCAAAATATCTCATACTTTGTCCTAAAAAAGATAAGGAAATAGTGAAGGGTTTCAAGTAGAGGAATTCCATATTCAGGTGTGCACATTGGAACTGTTCTTCTTGCTACTAGTAAGGGAAAGTAAACTCTAAACAGAGCAACTTGTCACAAGCTAGAGTGAGCATCCAGGAAGGAGAGAATGGAGGCCATTTGGGGAGCTATTTAGAAAATATAGTGAAGGTATATCTTCACTATATATACCTTCTATATAGTGAGGTACCTTCTAAGAGGTACCTTCTAAGAGGTGGGGGATGATAGAAAGAGACACATCTAGGATGACTCTCAGATTCATTTAAGACTCAGAAGTGAAAGGCAAATGAGAAAAGGAAAGATATACCCATTTGTATGCAGAGTTCCAAAGAATAACAAGGAGAGATTTTTTAAAAAGCCTTCCGCAGTAATCAATGCAAAGAAATAAAGGAAAATAATAGAATGGGAAAGACTGGAGATCTCTTCAAGAAAATTAGAGATACCAAGGGAACATTTCATGCAAAGATGGGCTCAACAAAGTACAGAAATTGTATGGACCTAACAGAAGCAGAAGATATTAAAAAGAGGTGCCAAGAATACACAGAAAAACTATACAAAAAAGATCTTCACGACCCAGAAAATCATGATGGTGTGATCACTCACCTAGAGTCAGATCCTGGAGTCTGAAGTCAAGTGGACCTTAGGAAGCATCACTATGAACAAAGCTAGTAAAGGTGATGGAATTCCAGTTGAGCTATTTCAATTCCTAAAAGATGATGCTGTGAAAGTGCTGCACTCAATATGCCAGCAAATTTGGAAAACTCAGCGGTGACCACAGGAGTGGAAAAGGTCAGTTTTAATTCCAATTTCAAAGAAAGGCAATGCCAAGGATTGCTCAAACTACAGCAAAATTGCACTCATCTCACATGCTAGTAAAGTAATGCTCAAAATTCTCCAAGCCAGGCTTCAACAGTACGTGAATCATGAACTTCCAGATGTACAGACTGAATTTAGAAAGGGCAGAAGAACCAGAGATCAAATTGCAGATTGTGATTGCAGCCATAACAATAAAAGACGCTTTCTCCTTGGAAGAAAAACTATGCCTAACCTAGACAGCATATTAAAAAGCAGAGACATTACTTTGCCAACAAAGGTCCATCTAGTCAAAGCTATGGTTTTTCCAGTATTCATGTGTGGATGTGAGAGTTGGACTATAAAGAATCCTGAGCACCGAAGAATTGATGCTTTTGACTCTTGAGAGTCCCTTGGACAGCAAGGAGATCCAACCAGTCCATCCTAGAGGAAATCAGTCCTGAAAAGTCATTGAAAGGACTGATGCTGAAGCTGAAACTCCAATACTTATGCGAAGAACTGAGTCATTTGAAAAGACCCTGATGCTGGGAAAGATTGAAGTCAGGAGGAGAAGGGAATGACAGAGGATGAGATGGTTGGATGGCATCACTGACTCAATGGACATGAGTTTGAATAAACTCCGGAAGTTGGTGATGGACGGGGAGGCCTGGTGTACTACAGTCCGTGGGGTCGCAAAGAGTCAAACACGACTGAGTGACTGAACCGAACTGAACTGACTTGAGTAGATGATAGTGCCATTCACTGAGATGGAGAATATGGGTAGAGAAGTTAGATCCTAAGGGATTAGAAGATGCCAGCCCTTCAGAAATCTAAAGCCAACACATGCTAAGTTACCCCAGTAAACACTTGATACATGTAAGCCATTATGACCCCTGGTCAAGATCTCCTGTTCCTCTTCTTCAACCACTTGTCACACCACAATTTCCAGTCCACTTATAAATGATTATCTTAAACTGTGTATTCTAGAACTGAATATAATGTAACAGACCTTGTTTGGGCACACAGAAATAAGGAATGAGGGGTTATACCATTCAGATTCTCTTCAACTGTCTGATTTTGTAAACTTGAGCAAGGCCCTCTCTCTAAGTCTCAATCTCCTCATCTTTATGATGAGGGATATTGTACTCAGTGAACTCTAAGAGCTCTTCCCAAGGGCACCATCAGAATCTCTGTCTCCCATGGTTCTTTTTCCCTTCTTCCAGCAAGTGAAACTTGGCAGTCCTGATTATATAGACTGTGATCGTGAAAAGGTTCTGGAAGATTTTCTAAAGAGAATAGAGTGCTATGAGGTCAACTACCAACCTTTGGATGATGAACTGGATAGGTAAGAACCCAGCACCACAAATTATAGGTCTGGATTCTTAGCCTGGTTTTGATGTCTTATAAGACCTGAAGAAATGCCTTCCCTCTGTGGGTCTCAAGTTTATTTGCAACATAAGGGAGCTTCACTTGATCTGTCTTCAAGGGCCCTCCCAGCTCTAATTATCCATGACATGGTGATTCTTTGATGTGTAAGGTGTTCACAAGAGGATTGAAGTAATGTTTTACTGAACAATATGGACATATTAGGACCCTGGTCTCTGGGAGAAAATGCCTCTCCCCTATGGTCGTTACTAGTATGTTCTCAAAAGTATTCTTCACATATGAATGACACTTCAGTTTCCAAACATGTTCACCTTTTTTTTGTTTCATTGAATGCCCTTGGCACTCCAGTTAAGGAGGCTGAAATAGGTCTTATGATCACAAATTTTTAAGAAGAGGAAATTGCATATTAAGGAGCTTGAGCTTGCTCAATCTTCTGCCACATAAAGCTAGGATTTTAATCACACATTCTGTCTCTTAATCATGTCTTTTTTCACAATGCACATATACCTTTTTTCAGTCAATATGTATTTGACTTCTTTGGGCTGTGGTGTATATAGGGGGTGTAAATAAGGGCAAGAAAAGTAGATTCTATCCTCAGGTAGCTTCCATAGTGCTTTGATATATGAGAAGATGCATGAAAAATATGAAACTTTCATTCATAACACCAACTAAAGATTGGAGAGGTGTTAGCTGGAAGTACATGGAAAATGTTAGCTTTAGACATAAGGTGTTCCCAGAAGCTCACTTTCTTTCAAAACAGATTGTGATGAGAAGAGACCCTGGTCACTCAGACCCTTTGGGCCTCAAGTAAGAAGTATAAGGAGGCTGCTAATAGTCATCACCACTCTAAGAAGTTTAAAGAGCATCCTTCCAGCTTTGTCCAACCAAAATCCCCAAGGTGAACATTGTAACTGCTTCACTTCTTAGACATAGAGAAGGGCAAGGGCTTACCTGAGGCCACACAATGAGTCAGTATCAGAATATATACTCAAATTCCTATCTTCAAACTTCCATCATGGTTATCCCCTCCCACATACCTATATCATAAAAAGTGTCATATGATACTCAGTGCAAGGGGCATGACCTTATGTATGATTGTGAATATTGTTCACTGTGCCAGGTCAAGGGTAAAATTGCTTTTCTCATCAAGGCATCTGTGCTGGAGTGAGGGAAACTTTTTCAAATTTCCACAAAGTCACTATATGAGAAGTTCAAAGGAGGAGCGCTAAAGTGAAAGATCAGCATTGAGAAAGCTCTAGCCTTTGGCCTAGACTTCTGCAGGTGCTCAGAGTTTCATGAATCAGTTCAGGTCTGAAGATAACTGATTCTGAAAGTTGACTTTATCTAATCATTTTTCCATCAACAGACATTTACAATCCATGCATCAAGGCCCAAACCTAGCTGTGCCCTAAGAATACAAAGAGGGAAAGGCTATCTGCTCTGATAGAATTACCACTTGGTTGAAGAAGACAATGAATATGCAGCTGGCCAGAATTGGGGGATGGTAAAGCAAGTGGGGTGGGGGAGCACAGAAGAGGGGATCCAGTCCAACTTTGAGGAAAAGATCTGGAAGAGCATGTTTACCAAGTATTTAGGGCACCAGCAAGTAGAGACTACCAAAAATAAGAAATAAAAAAAGGCAGTCTTGAAAGCTTTTGATAGCTTATATTGGGATGGCAGAAAGTTTGTTTGGGTTTTTCTGAACGAACTTTCTGGCCAACACAATATTTCAAAAACAGTACCAAGGTAGTGAAAACAGAAAAGATCTAACCAGAAATCAGTAGAACCTCCTCATATTATAAGATAGCTTATAATTTTTAGTATAAAGATGTCTCTCCCATCAGGAAGCTTCCATAAGCCTCTTATCCTTATTCATCAGAGGGCAGACAGAATGAAAACCACAAGCACAGAAAACTAAAAAAACTGATCACATGGACCACAGCCTTGTCTAACTCAATGAAACTATGAGCCACGCCATGTAGGGCCACCCAAGATGGACAAGTCATGGCAAAGAATTCAGACAAAACGTGGTCCACAGGAGAAGGAAATGACAAAACACTTTAGTATTCTTGCTTTGAGAAACCCATGAACAGTATGAAAAGGCAAAAAGACGTGACACTGAAAGATGAACTCACCAGGTTGGTAGGTGCCCAATATGCTACTGGAAAAGAGTGGAGAAATAATTCCAGAAAGAATGAAGAGATGGAGCCAAAGCAAAAACAATGCCCAGATGTGGATGGGACTGGTGATGGAAGTAAAGTCTAATGCTATAAAGAACCATACTGCACAGGAATCTGGAATAGTAGGTCATGAATCAAGGTAAATTGGAAGTGGTGAAATAGGAGACAGCAAGTGTGAACATCGACATTTTAGGAATCAGTGAATAGGAATAGATTGGAATGGGCCAGTTTAATTCAGATGGTCATTATTTCTACTACTAGGGGCAACAATCCCTTAGAAGAAATAGAGTAGCCCTCATAGTCAACAAAAGAGTCCAAAATGCAGTACTTGGGTGCAATCGCAAAAACGACAGAATGATCTCTGTTCGTTTTCAAGGCAAACCATTCAACATCACAGTAATCCAAGTCTATGCCCCAACCACTAATGCTGAAGAAGCTGAAGTTCAGTGGTTCTATGATGACATACAGGACTTTCTAGGATTAACACCAAAAAGAGATGTCCTTTTCATCGTAGGGGACTGGAATGCAAAAGTAGGAAGTCAAGGGATACCTGGAGTAACAGGCAAGTTTGGCGTTGGAGTACAAAATGAAGCAGGGCAAAGGCTAACAGAATTTTGCCAAGAGAACACACTGGTCATAGCAAACACCCTCTTCCAACAAAACAAGAGACAATGCTACACATGGACATCACCAGATGGTCAACACCGAAATCAGATTGATTATATTCTTTGCATCCAAAGATGGAGAAGCTCTACACAATCAGCAAAAACAAGACCAGGAGCTGACTGTGGCTCAGATCATGAACTCCTTATTGCCAAATTCAGACCTAAATTGAAGAAAGTAGGGAAACCACTAGACCATTCAGGTATGACCTAAATCAAATCCCTTACAATTATACAGTGGAAGTGACAAACAGATTCAAAGCGTTAGATCTGATAGAGTGTCTGAAGAACTATGAATGGAGGTTCATGACACTATACAGGAGGCAGTGATCAAGACCATACCCAACAAAAAGAAATGCAAAAAGAAAAAATGGGTGTCTGAGGACACCTTACAAATAGCTGAGAAAAGAAGAGAAGCTAAAGGCAAAGGAGAAAAGGAAAGGTATACCCATCTGAATGCAGAGTTCCAAAGAATAGCAAGGAGAGATAAGAAAGCCTTCCTCAGTGATCAATGCAAAGAAATAGAGGAAAAAATAGAATGGGAAAGGCTGGAGATCTTTTCAAGAAAATTAGAGATACCAAGATGAGCACAATAAAGGACAGAAATGGTATGGACCTAACAGAAGCAGAAGATATTAAGAAGAGGTGGCAAGACTACAAAGAAGAACCATACAAAAAAGATCCTAATGACCCAGATAACAACGATGGTGTGATCACTCACCTAGAGCTAGACATCCTTGAGTCTGAAGCCAAGTGGACCTTAGGAAGCATCACTATGAACAAAGCTAGTGAAGGTGGTGGAATTCCAGCTGAGCAATTTCAATTCTTGAAAGATGGTGTTGTTAAAATGCTGCACTCAAAATGCCAGCAAATTTGCAAAAAGTCAGCAGTGACCACAGGAGTGGAAAAGGTCAGTTTTCATTCCAATTTCAAAGAAAGACAATGCCAAAGAATGTTCAAACTACCACACAATTGCACTCATCTTACACACTAGCAAAGTAATGCTCAAAATTATCCAAGCCAGGCTTCAACAGTACGTGAACCATTCAAGCTGGATTTAGAAAAGGCAGTGGAACCAGAGATCAAATTGCCAACATTCCTGGATCATAGAAAAATCAAGAGAATTCCAGAAAAGCATCTACTTCTGCTTTATTGACTACATCAAAGCCTTTGACTGTGTGGATTACAATAAACTCTGGAAAATTCTTAAAAAGATCAGAATACCAAGCCACCTTACCTGCCTCCTGAGAAATCTGTATGCAGGTCAAGAAGCAACAGTTAGAACCAGACATGGAACAATGGACTGGTTCCATATCGGGAAAAGAGTATATCAAGGCTGTAGATTGTCACCCTGCTTATTTAACTTATATGCAGTGTACATTATGCAAAATGCCAGGCTGAATGAAGTACAAGCTGGAATCAAGATTGCTGGGAGAAATATCAATAACCTCAGATATGCAGATGACACCACCCTTATGGCAGAAAGCAAAGAAGAACCAAAGAACCTCTTGATGAAAGTGAAAGAGGAGAGTGAAAAAGTTGGCTTAAAGCTCAGTATTCAGAGAACTAAGATCATGACATCCACTCGCATCACTTCATGGTAAATAGATGGGGAAACAATGGAAACAGTGACAGACTTTATTTTCTTGGGCTCCAAAATCACTGCAGATGGTGACTGTAGCTATGACATTAAAAGACACTTGCTCCTTGGAAGAAAAGCTATGCCCAACCTAGACAGCATATTAAAAAGCAGAGACATTACTTTGCCGACAAAGATCCATCTAGTCAAGGCTGTGGTTTTTCCAGTAGTCATGTATGGATGTGAGAGCTGGACTATAAAGAAAACTGTGCACCAAAGAATTGATGCTTTTGAACTGTGGTGCTGAAGAAGACTCTTGAGAGTACCTTGGACTGCAAGGAGATCCAAACAGTCAATCCTGAAGGAAATCAGTCTTGAATGTTCATCGATGCTGAATCTGAAGCTCCAATACTTTGGTCACTTGATGTGAAGAACGCACTCATTGGAAAAGACCCTGTTCCTGGGAAAGATTGAAGGCACGAGGAGAAGTGGTAACAGAGGATGAGATGGTTGGATGGCATCACCGACTCGATGGACATGAGTTTGGGTAAGATCCGGGAGTTGGTGATGGACAGAGAGGCCTGGAGTGCTGCAGTCCATGTTGTTGCAAAGAGTCTGACAACACTTAGCAACTGAGCTGAACTGATAATTTTTATTTTAAATTATAAATGATGGGGGTATGCCGAGAAGAAATAGAAAACGTAGTACTTTTAATGTGAAGTACCTCTAAATGATTCACATGATCCTGGGCTTAAAAAAACTTCGTAGAAAGAGTGAATATACTGACTCTTGGAGGATAGATGCATAGGAGCTCAGCTTTGGAAACCAGGGAAAGAACATCTTTTCAAGGACAGAGAACAGTACCTTGTAAAGGCCTAGTTAAGTCTGAATAAAAAGTAGACGAGTACAGAGAATATTTCAGCAAAAGCGTTAAGGCTGAAATGAAATAAAGTTATGAGCATGGACATGGAACACTGAGGTTAGGTCAAGCACAGCCAAGGTATGAAGGCACCTAGAATGTCAGAATAAGCTAAGGAATTTGGAATTTATCCTAGTGCCACTCAGAACCTAGTGTCAAGAACAAGACAACAAGGTGACATCAGACATTTACCACCTAGGCTCTAAGAGTCATAGGTTGGAGATTTTGACATCAGGCAAATCACTTCCTCTCTCTGTGTTTCAGTTTCCTCACCTATAAAACAGAGATTATAGTCTCCACTTCCTAGGATGGCTATGAGGATTTATGCAGCTTGAAACCTCCCACCCCTGCCAGATGCGCGCACACACACACACACACACACACACACACACAAAATGCTCAGCAAATGCAAAAGGCCTGTGAGATGTTGGAGGCAGTCAGGGACAGTCAGTCAGGCACAGTTGGCAGCTGCTTTTTTTGTTTGTTTGTTTGTTTTATGCAATAGATGTTTATATCAGAATATTAGGTGAATTCTATTTTAAAATGTATTGGAAGACCTGGATAATTTAAAGGGCCCACCCTTGCCAGAGTTCTTTAGTGACATGAAAAGATCTCCAAGTATTTCAGATATTTTTAAAACATATTTGTAAGCATGACAGCAGATGCTCTGACCCTCAGACCTGACAGAACAGTGACCATACCCTGTGCCTGACTGCCTGTCCCTGACTTCTTCCAGCATCTCAGAGGCCACTTGCATTTGCTTCCTGTTTGACTGTTGAAGGATTACTGTCTCTCTCTCAGTATGTCAGCAATGTGAACCACAGAAGAGAGAATACTAGATGCATGGAGTGTAATGAGTGAAAGTAAAAAAACAGTCTGGCTCAAGCTGAGACTGAGGAAAGGAGACAAAGGGAGATGGTAGCAGGCAGTGAGCTCCTCAGGGTGGCCAGGAACCAAGTTTCTAGAACAGGTATGCAGAACAAGGCAAGGCTAGAGGAAAGGTAAGTGAGAGTGGCATTGTGGAGTAGGCTTGAAGGCAGGGTGTGTGGTTGGGGCTTTCTCTTGGGATCAGCCTCTCCAACATCAGCTCCTGAGTTGCCCTTGCTCCTGCTTGGACTGGCCCAGCCACCTGTCCTACATCAAGATCTTCGATGTGGGCACACGCTACATGGTGAATCGTGTGCAGGACCATATTCAGAGCCGCACAGTCTACTATCTCATGAACATTCACGTCACACCCCGCTCCATCTACCTATGCCGGCATGGTGAGAGTGAACTCAACCTCAGAGGCCGTATTGGAGGTGACTCTGGACTCTCAGCTCGGGGCAAGCAGGTAGGGAAGGCCCCATGCACTCTGAAACATTGACTGGGCTGGTTCAAGTGGGCCACATGTTGGTGGGGTGGCTGCTGACTGGGTCCTGAGGGTGGAGGGGCTCAGTGACAAGGTAAAAGCAGGTTCTGGCTACTTCTGCTCTTCCACCCCATTAGCCACTCAGTCTTGACCCATCTTTGCATGGCTTCCATGTACCACCAGCAACTCTGATGCTTTGGTCCTGGCACACCAGGCCTTCCCAGACCACTTGCTCCTCCAACCCCATTAAAATTAGCACTGTCTCTCCTGCCTGACTGGTCCCCTCATTTTTCTCACAACTCTGTGTCTTCATTTGTGCAGTTTCCACCATAGATGCTGCCCTCCTCTGTCCCTTCTGTCAGCTGGTGACCATCCTTTGCACAGACAGCTGCCCTGAAGTGCCCCACACTTGAATCCATCTTTTCCTGCATTACTAAGGGCTGATGCTATGCTCCCAAACCCCCACTGCAGGTCATCATAGAGTTGACTCTTGTCCCCCACCAGTTACCACTTCTTTCCTGCCCTCCCTTCTCCACCCTTTCCAGGACCCATCTTCTGCTCCATGGGCTGATCCAGGAAGCCCTCCCCTGTCCTCTCTTGCCCTCCCAGGCAGGTCACTTGGACTCCATATCCCCCAGTTCTGGCCCATCTCTGACCTTCATGGTGGGAGTCTCTTTTCTGAGTGAGTGAGTGAAAGTTGCTCAGTGGTGTCCAACTCTTTGCAACCTCATGGCCTATACAGTCCATGGAATTCTCCAGGCCAGAATACTGGAGTGGGTAGCCTATCCCTTTGCCAGCGGATCTTCCTGGCCTAGGAATCGAACCTGGGTCCCCTGAATTGCAGGTGGATTCTTTACAAACTGAGCTATCAGGGAAGCCAATGGTGGGAGTCTCTTCTTTCTAGTCAAGAATAATGACCTGCATGTTATACATGCTGCCCAAGTAAAGAGACACATTTTCCTGCGTTTGGCCCTCTCCCTGGGCTTGTTAAAGGGGCTTCCCAGGTAGCTTGGATGACAAAGAATCTGTCTGCAGTGCAGGAGACTTGGGTTTGATCCCTGGATTGGGAAGATACCCTGGAGAAGGGAATAGCAACCCACTCCAGTATTCTTGCCTGGAGAATTCCATGGACAGAGGAGCCTGGCTGGTTACAGTCCATGGGGTCACAGAGTCAGACACGACTGAGTGACTAACATTTTCACTTTCAGTGGGCTTGTTAATATAGGTATTGTTCTTGCTGGGAGGATGACGTGGGGTGGGATAAGAGGGAAATGAGGTGCAGGAGGGAAGGAGCTCCCTCTTTTATTGGACACATCTGCACATTCATGGCACCATCTACTTCCACATTTGTGGCCTCATTTAATCTTCACAACTCTGTGGGGTGGGCATTACCATCACTGATTTATGGAAGAGGAGGCTGAGCCCCAGACAAGAACAGAAAGTGGCCTCTGGTCACACATTCAGTAAAGGACAGAGCCAGGACTGAAAACCAGGCCTTCCTGCTTGCCCCTCAGCCTCCCCCACTGCAGAGCTGGCAGTGTTGCAGGCAAGTCATCACACCAGAAGCCTCAGTCCTCTTGGCTCCTTTTCTGTTACTTTCAGACTGGCAGTATCCCCTCAAGGTGGACTCTGACTTCTGACTATTACCTCTCTCACTCCTCAAAGAAGAGTCAGAGGCCATAGAGATGCCACCCAAGCCTGTGGCACCACCTACAGCCAGGGGTCTCTTGGTTGGGGCTGTCCATGACCTTGCCCACACAACTAAGCACCCAGTTTGGACACATGGCCATCTCCATACAACATGCCTCCTTAAACAGAAATGTGTACATGTACATGCACATGCCTGGCTCCAACTTTCATGCTAAAGAGCACAGTGCAGCATGCATGGTTTCCAAAGTATTTTCCCATCAACTGCCATCCACAATCGAGCACAGTAGCTCTCACTATGTGCCAGAGAGCACTCTGGTGTCTCCCCTCTACTATCTAATTTGACACTCACAGAGACCAGGCTGGGTGAGCTAATGCTGTTTGTATGTTACAGTCAGGAGATACAAAGCCAAGGTGGGCCCATGATATGCCCCAGGGCACAAGGGGACCCTGTAAGGGAGCCGGGGTAGATTAAACCCTATCACTTGTCTCCCAATCAGGACTCCTTCCACCAGAGCACACTGACTGTTGACTCATAATCCATAATTAGAATGTGTGGACACAATGCCTATATCTGTACATAAAAATGTGTGCCTGTATCTGTACATTTGTGCAGATGTTCCCCCACACATCATCTATGATTAAAAACTTGCCTATCTGCAAAAGAAGAGTGAACCAGTTGCTCATATGCACTTCCACAAACCTAATTGGTTCCTTTTGGTGTTGTCACTGTTTCCCTCACTGGATGGGCTATGTCTTGAGATCTGGCCACCCCAGCACCCAACACATGGCTACACACACTCAGTAAATATTTGAATGCCCTTAGAATCTTAGTACCAGGTCCTCTGCTCAAGCAATGAGAATTCACAAAGTCAAAGAGAAATGTCCCCTACATCCCACTCGCATACACTTTCAGACCATATTCAGAGTACCCAGAATCCTAGAATTTCCTGCCCAGAGTCTGCTTCCAGTATTTATATGGGGCCTGTCCCAGAGTCTGTTCACGTGAGAACAGGACATGTCACAAAATTGTTCACCCCTAGGAAAAGGAATGGCCAAGGGGTCACTGTTTGTATGTCATGGGGATTGGTGAAGATATGGTATAGACAGAATTTGTTCCTGTGACTGGATTATCCATAAGTATGTACTTAAGGTGCCTAGGAGTACAGGATGGAGCAGAAATGGGAAAAGAAGGGAGGTGAACTATAAGTGGAGTGCTTCTATTTGTACTTTTGTCCCAGGCCCACAAATGTTAGAAGTCAACTGTTTGAATGAATGAATAGCCAAGTAGGAGGTTCTGTGAACAAGCAGCAGTGAATACACACACACATATGCACATATACACACATAAATACACATATTATTTTCTATTCCCTTGGTCCTTAGTCATGTGGGCAAGAATATGACTTTTTGTAAATTGGAAACATTTAAACTCTACTCCTCTTTTTTCATTATCACTCCATTATTTGTGGTAGATCTAAATTTATTCTCACGGCCACCTTGTCTTCTTTCATCTCTCTTTTTCTCATCCTCTCCTCCTTTGTACCCCCACTCCTCAGTATGCCTATGCCCTGGCCAATTTCATTCAGTCCCAGGGTATCAGCTCCCTGAAGGTGTGGACCAGCCACATGAAGAGGACCATCCAGACAGCTGAAGCCTTAGGCGTTCCCTATGAGCAATGGAAGGCCCTGAATGAGATTGATGCGGTGAGATGGAGGGGGATGGATTCCCTGGTGGGTAGTGACTCTAGACTTATCCCCTGGATTGCCTTTGCTCTGGCTCATATGCAAAACCTAATTAATTCAACAAACTTTTCTTGTGCTAAACACTGTTCTGTGCCTTGGGGATCCAGTGAAGTTCAGAATAGACAAGGTCTTCACTCTCATGGAACCCGAAGGTTGACAGTGAATAAGACATTGCATTGCATGCAACAAAAGTTTGTGAGAGGGGAAATACAAGGGTCTATAGAGTCTCAGAAGGTGAGGATATTCTTGACAAGACAGTGGTGGAAGATTTAGAAGGAAAGTTTCCTAGAAGCAGGCAAAATGTACTTGGGTAAGGGAATAATTTTAGTTCAAGGAATAGGGAACAGTTCATGTGAAAGCCCAGAGATGATAATAGAGGGGAACTGTTAAGGGAACTGAAGGAAAATAGCAGAGAGTCTGAGATAGTGATTGTAAGGTCTGGAGAGAAAGGAGATGAGGTTGGAAAAGAAGAGAGCTTATGGGGCTTTATAGTCCATATTGAGGGATTTGGATGTTACCCTAAAAATGGGAAAACATTGGTGTGGTCTAAGTCAAGGAGTGGGCTACCATGTGCAAAATAGATAACCAGTGGGAAGCTGCTGTATAGTTCAGGGAACTCAGATTGGTCCCCTGTGATAACCTAGAGAGGGGGGGTGGGGAATGGGAAGGAGGCTCAAGAGGGAGGGGATATATGTATACTTAAAGATGATTCACGTTGTTGTATAGCAGAAACCAATGCAACATTGTAAAATAATTATCTTCTGATTAAAAATTATTTTTAAAAAATTACCTCCTTCCTCAAAAGGAGGAGTGGGCCAAATGTGATTCACATTTTCTTAAAGACCATGCTGTGAAGACTCATGACTCCATCATGATCATTTCTGGAGACTAGGCGGGAAGAGGGCCAGAATGAGAATGCTTACCAGTATGGAGATGACCGCATTAGTCTAGGCAAGAAGTGAGGGTGTGATGGACCAGATGTGTATTGGAGATGAAATGAAGGAAAAACTTAGTGAATATTTCATCTGACCCTCATGACACAGTCTCTCTTTAGAGTCAGGTTTTTCCATGAGTTCTTTAAGAAGATATTTCCTCTCCATTGTCTCACCTGCACTATAGGCATGTTTACATCAGGTAGCAGCCCACAGGTTATGATTGTTAGATACTAAAGTAAAAGCTTCATCACAGATGTAGATAACTTCTGTGTAGGTAGGTTAACCTGACTGCCTGCTAGATAAATACAGGAAGTGTGTGTGTACATGCATAATAACATATATACTTAACTGTAGATGTATAGAGACACACATATTTAGAAAAGGGAAATACAACATTGTTATACATATGACACATATTATTATAAAATACATGTGAGACAACTTTTCATCATAATAGTTCAGTTATTGTTTGTTTATGGCACACATGTGGTGTAAGCACTTATTGGATCCCTACTCCATTTCAAACTCTAGAATAGTTCTAGAGACAGAGATTGGTTTCTGTCTTCATTTAATTTTCAGAAAAAAATAGGGTAGACAGAGGAATACAAAACAGCATGTGTGATGCAGACTCTGGTAGGCTAGAATGTGGGCACACAGATGCTGGGGCAAGGCATCTGACCCAGCCACGATCTGCCTGGAGGAAGTGATGCCTACTTAAAACCTGAGGGTTGAGTAACAGTGAGCCAAGTAGAGAGGATCAGGAATCATGCAGAGAAAGCAGCATAAGCAAAGAGGGAATTGTGTATGTGTATAGGTCTACTAAGGTTATAGCAGTGGAGATGGAGAGAGAAGAAAGAGGAATAGATTTGAGAGAAATTTAAGGATTAGAATCTCAGAAATTAGCTATGAGAGATGGGTCAAGAAGGAGGAAGAATTTAGAATGACGTCTAACTTTCTGGTTTATTTCCATTACCAATACTATATTAATAATTAGATATATTAACCTAATAACATTAGATTAAATTGATCTATTTAAATTACTATATAATCTAAGCAATATTAATTATAGAGTAATATATTCCATGGATTGTTTTTAATTGTGCCTTGTACATTCTGTACTAGTCTCTTTTATATATATTATCTATAATATTCAAAATACTGTTGTGAGATAGTTATAATTATCCTTATTTTGCAGATGAGGAAAATAAAATTCAAAGAAGTTAGGCGATTTCTTTAAGTCAATAAGGGATCAGTGGTCACTTCCACAGGCAACAAATTCCCAGAATGCCTCAGAATAAAAAGTCAAAGCCAATCTGGAAGGACTTTGTGAATATACAGAGTGCATTTTCTCCCATGGGCAGTGTCAGATGCAGGTTTGACACTGCCTATCTTCTTGTAGGTTGGGACAGGGGTGAACCTAACTCCTAAGGAAAGCCTGGTTGGTGGCTCAGAAGACAACCAGAGCCCATTGCTTCACTACAGGAAGGTCTAATTGGAATCTACCAAACTAGAAGGGAATCTTATAAACCCAACATCGATCCCACCTCTACCAACAGCCACCTCACTTCTGTGGATTTCTTAGTGAGAACTCATTCTTTGAGAGCCCTTAATTCCTTCTTTGGGTCAGGAGAATGTATATCCCCAAGGACCACTCTGAAACTGAGGAATTTGCTAATTCTTGCCTTCTGAGAGAGGTCTGTGGATACCTATTTTTTTATCTGCCAGAGGTCCTGGAGAAGAAGTGTAGGCAGGAGGGATGGGAAATGCCTATAACATTGAAAAGCCCTGTTGTGGATATGTACATACACATGCACTTGCGTACACAGTCACAGACATCCACCACAGGTATGTTTACACTCACAGATATGCGTTTCACAGACACATAGACTAACTAGTCAAACACAGGTTTTCTCTCAGACACATCTACCAATCATATGTGCACCATTCATGCACACACACACACTTACAGACAGACACACCTAGAGGCACATATCACATTCACCATAGACACACATGCAATCTGTGCATATATCTACATCACATAGACACATAGAGACCCACATGAAGAGACAGACCACAGAGACACCTATGCAGGCACATTCTTAGATGACGCGCCATCCTTTATATACACATACTCATATATATACTTACATATATATGCTGAGACAAATGCACAACCAATAGCATAGGACCTTAAACATACCAAAAATACACATCATGAGCAAGCTACACAAACACAGTCACAAATTCTTAAATCCACAAATTTATAAAAATACACACATATGTACAATGTACATCTATAAACCTGTTAGGATAATCATAGAGAAGCACCACAGATACCCACCATGCACTCAGCCTGAACACACCTATGCACATGGACTCATTCTCACATCCACACAGCTACATACCTTGTGCACACATATATACATACACCAGACAACAAATAGAATGTATTTTCTCCTTCCATAGAGGCAGTAAAGTGAAGTAGTGAAAGTGTTAGTTGCTCAGTTGTGTCCAACTCTTTGCAACTCCATGGACTATAACCCACCAGGAAGAAGAGGTGGCAAGTATACAAAGAAGAACTATACAAAAAAGGTCTTAATGATGCAGACAACCACAAAGGTGTGGTCACTCACCTAGAGTCAGACATTCTGGACTGTGAAGTCAAGTGGGCCTTAGGAAGCATTACTACCAACAAAGCTAGTGGAGGGGATGAAATTCCAGTTGAGCTATTTCAAATCCTAAAAGATGATGCTGTTAAACTGTTACACTCAGTATGTCAGCAAATTTGGAAAATTCAGCAGTAGCCACAGGATTGGAAAAGGTCAGTTTTCATTCCAAACTCAAAGAAGAGCAATACCAAAGGGACTATCGTGCAGTTGTGCTCATGTCACATGTTAGCAGGATAATACTCAAGATCCTTCAAGCTAGGCTTCAACAGTATGTGAATCGAGAACTTCCAGATGTACAAGCTGGGTTTAGAAGGGGCAGAGAAACCAGAGATCAAATTGCCAACATTTGTTGGATCATACAAAAAGCACGGGAATTCCAGGAAAACATCTATTTCTGCTTCACTGACTATGCAAAAGCCTTTGGCTGTGGATCACAACAAACTGTGGAAAATTCTTCAAGAGACGGGAATATCAGACCGCCTTACTTGTCTCTTGAGAAACCTGTTTGAATGCCAGGAAACAATAGTTAGAACTGGACATGGAGCAATGGACTGGTTCAAAATTGGGAAAGGAGTACGTCAAGGCTGTATATTGTCATCCTGCTTATTTAACTTATATGCAGAGTACACCATGCAAAATGCTGGGCTGGATGAGGCACAAGCTGGAATCAAGATTGCCGGGAGAAATATCAACAACCTCAGATATGCAGATGATACCACTCTAATGGCAGAAAACAAAGAGGAACTAAAGAGCTTCTTGAGAAGGGTTAAAGAGGAAAGTTAAAAAGCTGGCTTAAAACTCAACATTCAAAAACTAAGATCATGGCATCTGGTCCCATCACTTCATGGCAAATGGATGAGAAAAAAGTGGAAAGAGTGACAGACTATTTTCTTGGGCTTCAAAATCACTGCAGCCACGAAATTAAAAGACTCTTGCTCCTTGGAAGAAAAGCTATGACAAACATAGATAGGGTATTAAAAACCAGACATCACTTTGCCGACAAAGTGCATATAGTCAAAGCTATGGTTTTTTCAGTAGTCATGTATGGATGTGAAAGTTGGATCATAAAGAAGACTGAGTGCTGAAGAACTGATGCTTTCGAATTGTGGTGCTGGAGATGACTCTTGAGAATCCCTTGGAAAGCAAGGAGATCTAACCAGTCAATCCTAAAGGAAATCAGTCCTGAATATTCATTGGAAGGACTGATGCTGAAGCTGAAGCTCCAATACTTTTGGCCACCTGATTTGAAGAGCTGACTCATTGGAAAAGACTCTGATGTTGGGAAAGATTGAGGGCAGGAAGAGCAGGGGGTGACAGAGATGGTTGCTTGGTGGGGTGATAAGATGGTTGAATAGCATCATCAAGTCAATGGACGTGAGTTTGAACAAACTCCAGAAGATAGTGAACAACAGGGAAGCCTGGTGTGCTGCAGTTCATGGAGTTGCAAATAGCTGGACTCGACTAGTGACTGAACGACAATAACAGACAGCAGACCCAAACCTAGAGGTGTGTTAACAGAAACCCAGGTGCTTGTGTGCTAATGTTCCATGATCATTGGCCTCAAATCTATGGTAAAGTTGTGGAGATTTCAACTTGCATAAACTTTTGTCCCCAAATAATTTTTCTCAGGGTGTCTGTGAGGAGATGACCTATGAAGAAATCCAAGAACACTACCCTGAAGAATTTGCACTGCGAGACCAAGATAAATACCGCTACCGCTATCCCAAGGGAGAGGTAAGATTTGGAGGGGTGGCCGGACTCTTAGGACTCCTCCCCAGTATCTTTATTTCAACTACCAGGATTCCATATTTCCCCGGACAGCTTTAGAAACAGGGTAAAGCAAATTTTGCAGCATCTTCCATCCCACAAAGCACATGATTTTCTGGCCCTTGGCTCTCTCATTCTTGGCTATAAACAACATTTTCCTCTTTTTAAAGGCAGTACATTTGCCTGTTTATTTCCTTCTTTCAGGAAGGCTCACTTTATCCTAGACTTTGTCTTTAATATTCTTTCACTAATGGCATCTGAAATATTTTAATGTACTTTAATTTTCTGACACTTTATTGCCAAGTTGCCTAAAGCTCCAGACTTTCTGGACTGTAGGTTGGAGTCCCAAGTGACAATGGCTAATGGTTTAACCAACTCTTCTGCCACCATATGAACCAGATTATCAGTTCCCTATTTCCATGTGGTGGTGAATCCTCATTGCTTTCAACCCAGCCTCCATTTAGCCAGTTCCACATGTTAGAATATTTATTAGTCATACTCCATTTCTGATACAGGTTCCTGAGGAAAATTATCAGAAAGCAGAATATTAGAGAAGATGAAATGATAGATATCTTGTGTTACAAAGCACTTTAACATTTGTATGTTCATCCTCAGAAATGACATTATGAAGTCAGTGACTGTGCCCTCATTTTCCTTTTTATATTTTGAGGCTATATTATTAGAAGCATACAAATTTAAAGCAATTATATCTCCTTAGTAAACTGTATATTTTATTATATAGTGAGCAAGCCTCTTTCCCCCCTAATAATGCTTTTTTTTATATGATATTAAAATTTTGTCTGCTCAGTATTTGGTTAGTTATTTACTTTCAACTTCTCTGTGTAGTTTTGTTTTGTTTCCTATAGACAACATAGAGCTGGATTTTGTTGGTTTTGATAAATACTGGAAATATATGACTTTTGAATGGCAAGTTTGGTATACTTTTATTTTAATTACCAATTTATGTGAACTTATTTCTACTCTCTTATTTTGAGCTCTTTAAGCTTGGTTATTTTTTGTCTTTTCCTCCCTTCTTTATAATTGATAAAATTTTACATCTATGTTTGAGTTATGCAATCTCTTTCCATTCTTTTAGAGTTACTCTTAACATTTTAATGTGTATGACTGACAAAATCTAAAAATCAATATCTCTACCTGCCTCCTGAATCAATATAAAAACTTTACAACTCTGGTCACTCCCACTCTTATATTGCTTGTTAATTATTGTTTTTTATTTTACTTACTTCAAACTTGTGTCTTATTCCCCAAACGAATTATTATTGTTAGTATTATATTTATTATTGTAAGCACAGCTTACTCATTGAGTGTTAATTGAATGAATTCTTGCTGAAGCACTTCAATTTATACCAATCTATCAGAATACATCACTATTTGTCCCTATAATGCCAACATATTGTATTTTTGGGTTAAATTGACATGACCAAAGTAAAATTATTATGAATTCTAGATAAAATAGAATTACTTCCATTATACCAATCTATCAGAATACATCACTATTTGTCCCTATAATGCCAACATATTGCATTTTTGGGTTAAATTGACATGACCAAAGTAAAATTATTATGAATTCTAGATAAAATAGAATTACTTCCATTATACCAATCTACCAGAATACATCACTATTTGTCTCTATAATGCCAACATATTGCATTTTTGGGTTAAATTGACATGACCAAAGTAAAATTATTATGAATTCTAGATAAAATAGAATTACTTCCAAACAATAAACTTTGTACCCACATAGATGGATTTTTTCTTTTTAAAAAATTTTATTGGATTATAGTTGATTTACAATGTTGTGTCACATATACATATATTTATTCTTTTTCGGGCTCTTTTCTCATATAGGTTATCACATAATATTGAAGAGTTCCTTGTTTTATTCAGCTGGCTCTTACTGATTATCGATATTATATATAATTGTGTGTGTGTATTAATCCCAAGCACCTGATTTATCCTCCCTCCCACATTTTTCCTTTGGTAACCATAAGTTTGTTTTTGATATCTGTAAGTCTGTTTCTATTTTCTAAATAAGATCACTTATATCATTTTTTAAATTATATTCCACATATGTGTGATGTCATATGATATTTGTCTTTTTCTGTCTGACTTCAGATAATCTCTAGGTTCACCCATGTTGCTGCAAATGGCCTTATTTCATTCTTTTGATGGCTGAGTAATATTCCATTATATATGTTAAGTAATATATACACAATGAAACAATGAAATTTATATGTATACAATGGAATATATTATAATTCAGTTCATCTGTTTATAGATATTTAGGTTCTTCTTCTCTATCCATTCGTGTTGATACACATTTAGGTTGCTACCATGTCTTAGCTTTTGTAAATAGTGCTACAAAGAACATTGGAGTGCATGTATATTTTTGAATTATGGTTTTCTCCAGATAAATGCCCAGGAGTGGGATTGCTGGGTCACATGACAGTTTTATTTTTAGTTTTTTAAGGAACCCCCATTCTGTTCTCCTAAATGGATTTTATATAGCAGAAATGGGGGGAAATCACTTATCTAAATAAAATATAATTTTTACTAACTAAAAAATATTGTATATAGTCAGTGTTTATTTAGATTCAGCCACATATTTACCAATTCCTTTGATCATTCTTTCATGTTACATCTCAAGTTTTCCTTCTGAGTTAAATGTCTATCTTTTCTTTAGAATTTTCTTTAGGAGGATCTGTTGGTAGTAGACTCACCTTTCCTTTTGTCTAAAAATGTCTTTTGGAGGGGTGGTCCTCAAACCTAGATGGTACTTTGGCAAGGTATAAAACACTAGGATGACAATTTTCTCTCTGGAGTTATCATCGCCACTGTCTTCTAGATTGGTTTCTAACATGGCTAAGAAGTCTCCTACAAGTCTAATTGTTATTTCTTTTCTCTCTGGGTACTTTAGGGTCTTTGGGTCTCTATTGCTTTTAAGCTTCACTCTGATGTGTCTAAACATTAATTTCTTTTAATTCATCTTGCTTGGAATTAATTGGAATTCCTGAATCTGAGAACTGGGATTCTTCATCAGTTCTAGAAAATTCCCAGGCATTATATCTTTAGCTATTCCTCTCTCATATTTTCTTTATTATCTCCTTCTAGAAATGCAACTAGATATGTGTTAGTTTTACTTCTATGCTTCATGTCTCCAAACTTCTTATTTTTGATCTCTTTGCTACATTCTGAGTAATTTCTTCAGCTCTGTATTCCAAAACATTTTATTTAATGCTCTGCTTACTCTATCCATTGAGTTTTCAATTTTAATGAATATATTCTTCATTTATAAAAATTCTACTTAATTCTTTTTCAAATCTGGATCTTATATTCAATAGCATCTTATTTCTTCCTTGCATTTTTGAGTCAATCTTTTACTTCTTTAAAAATCTTGAGAATATTTATTTTATATTGTGGATCCTTTATCTTAAGTTGTTAGAGTTCTGCTTATTTTTACTTATTATAGCTTATTTTCTGTGTATGTTATATGAGCCTCAGTTTGAAAAAATTTATCTGTGGGAAATCCATGCAGCCTCAGTTGAGAGAATCTAGAGAGAATTTACATTTGCTTCTTCTAGACACTCCTGGAAGCAAATGACTTGAAATCACTTTTTATTAAACTCTCAGCTTAGCATTTTCTAAAACACATGGGTAATATAATTCTGAACCACAAATCTATCTAACGATATGTTTGGGGTTATACATTCTTAGTGGAGGCTTTTCCTAATTTTTTCCTCCAAGAGTCAGACAGAGACACATTTTTTTATTGTTTTCCTTTGCCTGTGGATATATTTTAGCTTATCATTTTATTGAGGATGTAGTCCTTTGAAGGTCTCAGTCCCAAATCCCTACCCTATACACACCTAAGGCTTCATCTCATATTTCTATTATGTTTTAAAAGCTCAAGGCTCTTGTATACTGTGATTGACAAATGCCCCCATGGGAATTATGGCTTCTATATCCATTCATCACTCTTTTTCCCAAGTTTTTCTTCATTTAGGAACCCTATATTCATAATGTTGTGTTTTCTTGAAAGATCAGCAGTGCAAACATTTATTTTATCCAGCTTTTCTAAAGATTTTTTAGTGGAAAGTTTTATTATTGTTATTGTTGTCTACTCCACTATATTGATTGCTCCGTTAACAGATGAAAAAGTAAGGCCCTAGGAAGGAAGTGAGTTGCCCAAGGTCACACTGCTGACGAACAACTGAACTGGCACCACAATCAAGTTTTCCTGATTCCTGGTCTAGAGTTCTTCTCCTCAGGGCAAATGTGCCTCATCTCCCCTTCTTACACAAATGTTTCTCTCCCTTTCAGTCTTATGAAGATCTGGTCCAGCGTCTGGAGCCAGTTATAATGGAGCTAGAGAGGCAGGAAAATGTATTGGTGATCTGCCACCAGGCTGTCATGCGGTGCCTCCTGGCCTACTTTCTGGACAAGAGCTCAGGTACCACTTTTCTCTCTGTTCCTGGCATGGGAGCTGCATGTAAGTTGAGACTCTCTGACAGCAGAAACTGGTGGTTTATATCTTAATAGTTAAGAGTACTTTATTTAGAACAAGGGTGCATGAGTCCAAGTTCTTACTCTGTCTCATGATACCTTTGGCAAATTACTTTAACCTCTCCCCAGTGGCTCAGTAGTAAAGAATCTGCCTACAGCGCAGGAGCCACAGGAGACGTGGGCTCAATCCCTAGGTCAGGAAGATCCCCTGGAGGAGGGCACAAGCAACCCACTCCAGTATTCTTGCTTGGAGAATCCCATGGATGGAGGAGCCTGGCAGGCTACAGTCCATGGGGTCGCAAACAGTTGGACACAACTGAAGCGACTTAGCAGGTTGCAGGCTCTGTTCTCAGTTTCCTCATCTGTAAAATGGAGAGAATGATGAAGTTTAAATAAATTAACATGTGTATAGAGCTTAGAACAGTTCATGATACAAAGTATGGGCCATATAAGTGTTAGCTGCTATTATTAATATCAGTGTTATTATGAGTTAACATTTTCAAAGCCAACCTTAACAATCTGTTTCAACCCAAGAAAGCTGAGTCAGTATTTCTCAGAGGCATGCTGTCATCAGTGGAATGGGACCTCTTGTGACTTTTTTTTTAACTTTTTGGCCACACCGTGCATGTGCCATGGAGGATCTTATTTCCCTGACCAGGGATCCAACACGCCCCCTGCAATGGAAGCACAGAATCTTTTTTTTTTTTCCCATTTATTTTTATTAGTTGGAGGCTAATTACTTTACAACATTGCAGTGGTTTTTGTCATACATTGAAATGAATTAGCCATGGAGTTACATGTATTCCCCATCCCGATCCCCCCTCCCACCTCCCTCTCCACCCGATCCCTCTGGGTCTTCCCAGTGCACCAGGCCCGAGCACTTGTCTCATGCACCCAACCTGGGCTGGTGATCTGTTTCACCCTAGATATACATGTTTCAATGCTGTTCTCTTGAAACATCCCACCCTCGCCTTCTCCCACAGAGTCCACAAGTCTGTTCTATACATCTGAGTCTCTTTTTCTTTTTTTGCATATAGGGTTATCGTTACCATCTTTCTAAATTCCATGTATATGTGTTAGTATACTGTAATGGTCTTTATCTTTCTGGCTTACTTCACTCTGTATAATGGGCTCCAGTTTCATCCATCTCATTAGAACTGATTCAAATGAATTCTTTTTAATGGCTGAGTAATATTCTATGGTGTATATGTACCACAGTTTCCTCATCCATTCATCTGCTGATGGGCATCTAGGTTGCTTCCATGTCCTGCCTATTATAAACAGTGCTGCGATGAACATTGGGGTGCACGTGTCTCTTTCAGATCTGGTTTCCTCAGTGTGTATGCCTAGAAGTGGTATTGCTGGGTCATATGGCAGTTCTATTTACAGCTTTTTAAGGAATCTCCACACTGTTTTCCATAGTGGCTGTACTAGTTTGCATTCCCACCAACAGTGTAAGAGGGTTCCCTTTTCTCCACACCCTCTCCAGCATTTATTGCTTGTAGACTTTTGGATAGCGGCCATCCTGACTGGCGTGTAATGGTACCTCATTGTGGTTTTGATTTGCATTTCTCTGATAATGAGTGATGTTGAGCATCTTTTCATGTGTTTTTTTGCCATCCGTATGTCTTCCTTGGAGAAATGTCTGTTTAGTTCTTTGGCCCATTTTTTGATTGGGTCATTTATTTTTCTGGAATTGAGCTGCAGGAGTTGCTTGTATATTTTTGAGATTAATCCTTTGTTGCTTCATTTGCTATTATTTTCTCCCAATCTGAGGGCTGTGTTTAACCTTGCTTATAGTTTCCTTTGTTGTGCAAAAGCTTTTAAGTTTCATTAGGTCCCATTTGTTTATTTTTGGTTTTGTTTCTAAAATTCTGGGATGTGGGTCATAGAGGATCCTGCTGTGATTTATGTCGGAGAGTGTTTTGCCTATGTTCTCCTCTAGGAGTTTTATAGTTTCTGGTCTTACATTTAGATCTTTAATCCATTTTGAGTTTATTTTTGTGTATGGTGTTAGAAAGTGTTCTAGTTTCATTCTTTTACAGGTGGTTGACCAGTTTTCCCAGCACCACTTGTTAAAGAGATTGTCTTTTTTCCACTGTATATCCTTGCCTCCTTTGTCGAAGATAAGGTGACCATAGGTTCGTGGATTTATCTCTGGGCTTTCTATTCTGTTCCACTGATCTATATTTCTGTCTTTGGGAAGCACAGAATCTTAACCACTGGACCACCAGGGAAGTCCCTAGCGTCTTGATTTTGATTATAGGTTTCTGTCTTTGCTCTAGGGATGATTTCTCCAAGATAGTGGTGTTTTCATTTTTAAATGATAATTTATTTTTATTAAAAAATCTGGATATTTTCATTTGCAGAGTATTTACACACTGATTACAAATTGCAAGCTAGGGCAGCTGTCCTGGCAAGGGACTATCATGTCACCTCCAAGTGTGAAAGTCTATTTCTGAAATGGAAGCTGAAGTGTTGGCATCTCCAGGATACTGGAGTAAGGATGTGTGAGGACAGTGCAAAGTCATATTTGAAGTGTACAGTGTCCTGCAGACTTGGATCTTTTCTATGATGCTAGCTTCCAAACAAAGGGCTCTTATAATATGGAGTCATCTAGAATTGGAACCTAGAGGACTTGAGAACTTGACATTGGACAAGTAATTTCCTTTGCTTGGTCCTCAGTCTCCTCAATGGAAAAAAGGTGACAGGGGATGGGGTGGTGCTGCTAGATTTCTGATACTGTTCACATCTCTACTGCTCAGTACTAGTTTTGAGACTGTGAGGCTGGCCCTGTAACCCTGACTGTGCAGAAGAGGAAATGGAGGCTCTGAGAGATGAAGTGACTTGCCCGAGATCATAGGGCTCAGTGGGGCAGAGAGAGGCACTAATCTTGGGTGAATTCCACAGGCACCTTATCTCAGACACATATGGGGTTCATGGGAAGCACATGCATCTCCCATTTGCCCACTGCTTTACCCATATGCTACCTGCTTTCATGAACAGGCCATGCCAGCTTGTCACAGCTGTCCTAGGAGCTGGGCTAGGCACAACTGGGCACATGCTCTTACTGCTATTGCTGAAGTAAGGAAACTGAAACTCAGGAAGATGCTGTGACTGAGAACTCAGATCCATAGGACCTCAGAGCTGGGTCCAATCCTGTGCTATAAGAGATAAGATCTTTGAGGACCAGAAAAAGAAAAAGCATGGTTGAGATCACTTGTCTAGGCAGTGGCAGAACTGGGTCAGAGATCTCAGACAAGTTGATCCCTTCTCTGAATCTATTTTGTCAGGCATGCAGTGAGGAACAGTAACTCCCATAGAGTATCAGTGAGAATGGAGTGAGGTAGTAGACCAAAAGCGCTGGACCCAGCACCTGAAGATGATGATGACAAAGGCAAGGAGGAGGAGCAGATTGGTTGCCCAGGAAATTTTATGTGTCAGGAGGCTGGGTGGGCCGTGGCAGGCCTGAAAAGCCTAGCATGACCCTCAGGGACAGGGAGGCCATGATGGATGGGTACTGGCTCAATGAAGGAAGATAGAAAGCTGAATATGTTTCCTGGGTGATCAGGAGGATGGGTGTTTACAGAGAGGAATGAGAGGTGGGAGTGTCACCACACGGCACTGTGCATCCCTCAAAGGCAGTGGCAGAAGACTTCAGTGGTCAGAGCACACATTTGGGCTCAAAGCATCCTGGGTTCCAGTCCCAGCACTGCCACTTCCTGGCTGTGGGACTCAGGGCAAGTGTCTTCCCTCTCAGAGCTTCAGGGTCCTCATCCATGGAGTGTGCCTGGTCATCCGCTCCCTTGAGGCTATCTGGTGACTGCTGTCAAGGCCATGCAAGTCATTGCATGCAAATCATCAGGAACTGAACACAAGTGAATCAGGGAATGCTTGTCCATCAACAAGTGTCCAAGGAGTCAGAGGGCACAGGCCTGGGCTGGGGAGAAAGCTGCGAGAGCTGCCAAGGTACATGCACCTCAGCCAAGGCCCCAGCGCATAGTAGAGCCTCAGAAAACACTGGCTGAGACCTGCTGTGACCTTTGAGGTAGGGGACCCTGTGGTAGGACTGAGTGGGGGTGGGAGGGAGGCTTGCCTTACTCTCTTGTCTGCCCTGCAGTTGAGGAGGTCAGCCACCTCCACAGTGCCAATCTTTGGTTTCTGGGGACCCAGAGTCTGTCCCAGATCCCCGGGACCCACCGTCCTCCTTGCTCCTGAGGCCTCTGCTCTTTTCCTTCCTCCCCACTGGGCTCTCAACACTGCCCCCTGAAGAGTGTGGGTGAGCAGAACCCAGGTAAAGACATCCATGTGGGAGGGGGTGGAAGGGAAGAGTGCATTAAGACTGGAACCCCAGAGAGGTGGTGACACCCCTAGCATCCTGCCTCTGAAAGCTGCTCTCTCCTCCTTTCCAGATGAGTTGCCTTATCTCAAGTGCCCTCTGCACACAGTGCTCAAACTTACACCTGTGGCTTATGGTGAGTGCCCTCACCTTCATCTGGGGAAAAGTATATAGACGCTATGAGCATGCCAGCAGTGCCTACCATTTGTCCTGCAAAGTCCTGAGAGAGATTCCCTGGGTGGATAGTTAGGTGTCTTGGTAGAGGCAGGACTGGTGGTAGCAAGATGACAATGGGGGAAGGACTTAGGTAGCCTCTAAATCTGGGATGTGGCCCCAGCTTTCTCTGTCTCTACCAGAGCACCAATCATATAGCACAAAGCTGTAGAAGAGGGGTTCCCCAAAAGGGACCAGAGAAAGAGGGGCTTCCACAGGCTTTGGGCTTCCTATGCCAGATCCAAACCCCAATACCACCCTCCTCTTTTTTGTGGCTCCCCAGAAGTACCTTGTGGTCTTCCACACCTCTGATCTTGCAGTAACCACATAGTTCTCAAAATAAACTTTACCTGGGGTTGATTCTTTTAGCACTTCAGCACCTAACACAGCTGGGAGCTCTGCAAAGCTCCATCCTTATTACACAGATTAGGTTTCTGTCTCACAGAAAAGAGCTGGGGAGTGGGGCAGAGATAATCTCTTCTCAATTCTCATTCCCATTGACAAGGGAGGCTCAGAGAACACTGAGACTATTAGGAGCAGAGCCTGCCTCTTAGGCCTGATGTCTTCCCCAGACATCACACAGCTGGTCTAAATTCCCCTCCCTAAAGGGCAGCTATAACCTGCACACAGCATGGAACTGGGGGTGTGGGTGCTGATGGGGAGAGGGAATGACACCTCAGGGGAGACCTGTGCTCACCTGGGTGGCTTATGGATGGACTGGTTGTTCTTTTCTGAGGCTGCAAGGTGGAGTCCATCTACCTGAATGTGGAGGCTGTAAACACACATCGGGAGAAGCCTGAGGTAGGTGAGGGACTCTGTGGCTCATGCTGGGATGTTGTGAAAGCACCCTCCCCGGCAGAAAGGCCGCCCCACTCCCACAGAGCTTGGGTGTTTCCACCAACAGGTAGAAAAACCAGCACCCAGAAATGTAGGAACTACAGACCAGACTCAAGATACCATAGAGAAGCAGGGCTAGAGCAACCCTGCCTAGAAGGACTCTGCCTGAAGTTCCCCCAGGCTTGCCTAAAGAAAGAGTAAGGATTCAGGTCTGGCTGAAAGAGGGGAGCCTGGCAGTGAGAACAAGAGGCAGGGAAAGGTGGGGGCTCCAGACTACTGGTTCCTTCCTACTAATACTAGGTTCTTTCCTCTCAGAATGTGGACATCAGCCGGGAACCCGAAGAAGCCCTGGACACTGTTCCTGCCCACTACTGAGCCCTTTCTAAGACATCAAACTGCCTCTGTCCTTTCTTGGGTTCACCTTTAGGAGCTATTATTGATCTTTTCTTACTATGAGAACACTCTGAACTTTGCCTCACTGGAAGAGACCCACCTCCAGTAAAGAAACCTTCATCAGCTCCAAAATAGGCCTTGATTTCTAGCTATAAACAAGGAGCTGTCTAGCTCAAGATGGAATTTGTTCCTTTTTAATTCCTATTCCCTGATCAATAAAGACTTCCCTTACTGCTTACAAAAGGATAAAGGAGGTCATTGTGAAGCTTCTACAAGATTTTCTTAAGATCCTGACCCTATGAAATGGCTCTGGTGCTGTGGGGTATGGACTGGGTGAGAATTTCCTGGATAAAAGGGCTCTGGAGAAGCATCTCCAAATGTGAAGGTAGAGCGTCCATGTGAGTGCCTGTAGCCTTGTTCTTTGGTGGGCAACATGACTGGAAACATGACACTTTCATCCCTATATTCAAAGAAGAATCTGTACTTAGACCACAGTTCTCCTTTCTTCTCCAACTCTTGTTGCCATCCTGACTGATTTCACTGTCCATATAAATGATCCAAACAATACCCTGGTCACCTAGTGCCCTGCCCCCTCAACTTCAGTGATCATCTTCCCTTCAGTCAGTCACTCCATGGACCTTGGTTGGCATCATCTAGACTTCTCCCCAGTTTGACTTCTTAAATACAAGCATCTCACTGTCTGACCACTGGCCCCCTAGTCCTTATAACTCTCTGTGTCATCCTCCCACACAGCAGGCATGTATGTAGCATTTCTTTAATGAACAATATTTACCCTTGCACTGCATCAAGTATAAGTCCTTTGATTCCTTCAGTATCTCCCAATCACTCAGTCCTCTCCCTCTTCATTTTTCTTCCATCCCTGGCCATCTTGGATCCTACTGTCTATCTCTTCAGCCAATCTCCATGCAGCTACTATGGGCAGGTACCAGCAATGCAGTTGTGAAGATACAGACTCATACACCCCCTGCCTTTTTTTTCTTCCTTTTTGTCCTCCCATCACAACCACCAGCAAGACTAAAAACCTTGTATAATCCACGTCATTTTTTTTTATTGGGATCTATTACAGGGTTGATGATCACTGCTTGAAGCAAATCTACATTTATCTCCTTCCACAGCCACCATTAAATTCTGTTCAAAGTCAGGACCACTCTCTATTCTCTGGTATTCTATCCATCCCACCTTCTCAAGGATAAGTTGATTCAGTCAGTTCCTGATTATTCCACATCTATATCCCATCCTTCTCTGTTGGCTTTTGCATCCATAGTCTATGCAACATACTTGGGTCTCTCTCCCATGCCAAGAAAATCCTCCATTGCTGCTATGTCCACCTTTAGTTATGTCCCTGTCTATCTCTCCATTCTTAGATATCTCAAAATGAAACTGTACTTAATCTCAAGAATCTGCTCCCTTTGCCTTCTGTTCCAGGCTTCCCCTTCTATATCTTGACTTAGGCTATTTTCTGCTGGTCTGCTATGCTTTCCCCAAGACTCTATCCCACTGAAGTCATACTTTCCTTTTAGTGTAAAGCCAGAGCCCACCTTCCCCAAAGAGCTGAGCTTATCTCTAGCTCTTCTATGAAACCAAAATATCACCCACATCAACCTAAGCACATTAAAAGACAGAACAAACTGAAATTCATTTTGCAAATTTAATGTAACTATGATACCAAATATGATAGAACACAAAAAGCAAAGAACAAAGCAGAATTGGCAAACAGATTATTTTCATAGCATGTCACCCTCAGCTGATTGGTAATATCTGCTAAGACTGCTGCATGGACAAAGATCCCAAGGATGTACCTTGGCTCCATGGGAAGGACTGCTGCGATTCATTAGCAGTATCTGTAAACATGAGAGATAAACCTGAAAACAAAACACCAAATGAAAACACATTTTAGCACCAAATATACTATATCCTCATACTTCATTCATTGTGCTCAACTCCCCACACTGCCCTCTCACCTTGAGGGTTTCTTATAACATCTCCCAGCTCTTATACTCATCCCCATGGGCCTTGGCTATGGAAATGTTGCAATTACCTGAAACCTCACTAGACATAGGAGAAGCTACAGGCACCAAGGCTAGTGGCTCCACCACCAAAGCCAGCAGCATTGCTCAGTATATTGCCATAGCCATCACTACTGCCTGGTCCACCGTTGAAGCCAGCATCAGTGCTCAGTCCACTGCCAAAGCCAACAGTAGAACTGGGTCCGCCAATAAAGCGGGTGCTGGTGCTGAGATTGCCAGTAAAGCCAGTGTTGGTGCTGGAACCACTGCCAAAGCCAATGATGGTGCTCAATCCTCCATTGAAGCTGGTGTTAGGTCCACCACTAAAGCTATCACTGGTGGTGATGCCACTACTAAAGTCAGCACTGGTGCCAAGTGTGCTGCCAAAACCAACATTTCTGCCAAATCCACCACCAAAGACATTGCTGGAGATCAGCCTACCACTGAAGCCAGAGCTGGTGCTCAGCCCACCATGAAATCCAGTGCTGGTGCTTAACCCATCGCCAAAGTTGAAACTGGTACTGGTGCTGAGTCCATCACCAAAACTGGCACTTGTAGGACCACTAAAGCAGGTGCTAGGACGGCCACCAAAGCACAGATTGGTGTTAGATATACTCCCAAAGCAGAAGCTGGTGCTGGGAGCTCCACCAAAGCCAATGCTGGTTCTGGGAGAACTGCCAAAGTCACTAGAGGTGTTAAGTGCCCCACTGAAGTCAGTAAACACATTGCCAAAGCCAGAGTTGGTGCTGGGTACACTGCTGAAGCCACTGCTAATATTGACAGCACTGCTAAAACCAGCACTGGTGCTGTGTGTGCCACCAAAGTTAAGATTGGTGCTGAGTGTATCACCAAAGTCAGTGCAACTGCTGAAAGAGCTGCTAAAGGAGACACTGGTACTGAGTACACCATCAAAACCAGTGCTGGTGCTAGAGAGCCACCAAAGCAGATACTGGTACTAAGTGTGCCACCAAAGCTGGCACTAGAACTGGGAGAACCACCAAAGTAGACACTAGTGCTGAGTGTGCCACCTAGGTGAGTGCTGGTGCTAAGTGCACCACTAAAGACTGCACTGGTGCCAAGTGTACTGCCAAGGCTAGTGCTCGTAATGAATGCATCACTGAAACCAGCAGTGGTACTGACTGTGCCTCCAAAACCAGAGCTGGCTCCACCACTGAAACTGGTATTGGTGTTGAGCAGGTCACTGAAACTACAGCTGACCCCACCACTGAAGTTGGCACTGGTGCAAGGTGTGCCACCAAAGCTAATACTGACTTCACTGCTGAAACTAGAGCTGGTGTTCACTGTACCACTGAAGCTAATGCTGGCTCTACCATTGAAAGTGGAACAAGTGCTGGGTGTGCCATCAAAGCAAATGCTGGCTACACTGCTGAAGCTAGCACTGTTGCTGCATGTACCACCAAAGCTAATACCAGCTCTGCCACAAAAACCATTACCAGGGCTGGGTACACCACTGAAGCTAATACTAGAACCATCACTATAGCTAGCCCTGGTGCTAGCTTCTCTGCTGAAGTCAATGCTGGCACTGGCATTTGCATTTTCTTGGGCTCTGGCCTCAATTTCAAGTGAAAATCTGCTCCAGGCCTGAGCATCATTGCCTCTTTCTTTGTTAGGCAGTCGATATCCATGTCATCCCAATTCCAGGGCCCAGCCACAGCTTCCTCTCCAATCCCCATTTGGGCTCTTGCCTCAGCCCTGGCCTCAGCCTCAGCTATAGTCACAGCTGTAGCTTGGACTTGCATCTCCACTGCTTCCTGGTACTGCATGGCCCAGTACTTGGGGTCTTTTTTTTTGTACCTGAAATGAGAATTACAATCATTATAATAAAAATAACATTTGTAATTATGTATTAAGTACGTACCATGGGCTTTGTATAAAGCTAAGAGTAGCATTTTTTAAAAACTCTTAGTTGTTAGGGCTCTATCATGGGTCAGTCCTGAGATCCAATTTCAGTTCTGATAATTTAGGTGCTATGTGACTTTGGACAAGCTACTTGATGTCACTGAGCCTAAGTGTCTTCATCTCTGTCTTCATACTGACTTTCTTATTGCAAATGAACTGCAAGTTGCCCATCACTGTATACTGCTTTCCCCAGCCAGGGACATCTTGCACCCTTAATATGTCAAGTCAGGGAAGTTCTCCTATTACCTTGCATGATAAGAGATAAGGAGAAATGATAAGAGAATAAGTATGTTATGGACTGAATGCTTTGGTCCTGCCGAAATTAATATGTTGAAGCACCAACCTCGAATGTGACTATATCTGGAGGTAGGGCTTTTCTGGAAGTAAAGTTTAATGATGTCATAATGGTGGGTTCCTGATCCAATAAGATTAGTGTCCTTTTAAGAAGAGGCTCTCCCATTATACAGAGTGAAGTAAGTCAGAGAAGAACAAATATCATATATTAATGCATATATATGGAATCTAGAAACACGATACTGATGAACCTATTTGCAGGGCAGCAATGGAGACACAGATAGAGAACAGGCTTATGGACATGGAGGGGTGAAGGAAAGGAGAGGGTGGGACAAACGGAAAGAGTAACATAGAAACATATACAGTACCATATGTAAAACAAATAGCCAGTGGGAATTTGCTGTATGATGCAGGGAGCTAGACCCGGTGCTCTGTGAAAATCTAGGGGGCTGGGGTCGGAGAGAGGTTCAAGAATAAGGGAACATGTGTATACCTATAGCTGATTTATGTTAATAAATGCAGAAACCAACAAAATATTTTAAGGTAATTATCCTCCAATTAAAAATAAATATTTATTTTAAAAAGAAGAACTCTCTCTCCACCATGAGCACAGCAAGAGTTCATGAACACATGAACTCTGCAAGCCAGGAGGAGAAGTTTCATTAGAAACTAATGCTCCTGGACCTTGATCTAGGACTTCTAGCCTTCAGGACTATAATAAAATGTTTCTGCTGGGTTTTTTTTATTTTTTATATTTATTTATTTGGCTGCACCAGGCTTTAGTTGTGGCATGTGAGTGAATTCTTAGTTGGGGCATGTGGGACCTAGTTCCCTGACGACAGATTGAACCCCAGCCCCCTAGTTTGGGAGCGTAGAGTCTTAGCCACTGGGCCAACAGGGAAGTTCCTGTTTCTGTTGTTTAAGCTACTCAATTTATGATATTTTGTTATAGCAGTTAAGGAAACTAATATAAAGTATGAATAATGAATGAAATGATGTAAACTTTATGTCAAGCAGCATTCTGGGACATAAATGAAGTTCCATATGTTTATATATGAACTGCAGGCTACCCTGTACCTGCCCATTCCTGTACACTGCCTGCCCCAGCCAGGGGCATCCTTTACCCTTAATATGCCAAGTAAGGGAAGCTCTTCAATTACCTTCAGTTAACTTGAGAACTTTCAGCTTACTAGTCTCGGTAGGAGCGCAATCCCCAGAAGAACTCATATTCAGGTGGTCTGCTGTTGGGGACCCTCTTATATTCCAGGTACCTTGGAGAAAAGAAATAAAACTTGCTTCTAACCAAGCAAACCTGTTGTCTAACCACTTGGCTTCAGGTGGCAACCTCCTCCAATCAAGTACTAAACTCAGCTCCTGGAGAAGGATTTCCAAGGCCCTCCTACCCCAGACTAACTCCAAAACATATTTCATGGTCTTAACCTCCAATATTGAGCCATTTCCCATTGGCTCTGTACAAAGCAGTCACTTGGTGTTACAGGGGAGGCATGTATAGCATATGGTGTCACAGGGAGGCCAAAGTATTCTGCCACCTATGAGGAGTAAACCCAAGTTTCTGTTGGATGTGTTGGAAACAGAGAAGCCATTCTCTGGGCATTCTGCTCTGAGCACACACCATAGCAAGGATTTTGTGTTTGGTCTGGCCCAGCCCTGGTATGGTCCACCATGGTAATTGTGGACAGGACTCACTTAGTTCTAGGAAACATAATGCCCATACATCTAAAGTTAGAGTAAGAAAAGGGCTGATCAAGCACTTTCTGGACCTGACTGGCACACCCAGAACACTTCAGGTCCTGACAAAGCCTGACAAACACCATTTACTTTTGCTTCACAAACTCATCTGTGATGAGCTTCCTCACTTCCCCAAAGAGTGAGTGCCTTACCCTGACAATGGGGAAAATAACCCATGAACCAAGATCAGATATTCCCACATGGGGGCAGAGGCATTTCCCAATGTGAAAGAGACCTCTCTAGCACATGAGGCCATCTCAATTAAGTCAGAAAATAATGAACACAGGGTCACTAGAAGCAGGCAGTTGAGGTCAGATGGTTCTTATCAGGGATGCCCTAAGGTCTATCTTATATATCAGATTAGAACAGAAAGAGGACATAGGAGAAAGAGGAAGCAGAGAGTTCAGGACCATTTCCCTATCCACCCAGGTCAGAACTCTGGACCCAGTCCAGCACATCCGCCCACCCCACCAGACCACCAGGCTGATGCAATCCTGGGACCATTCTCTCTTGCCAAAGGATAACACGGACAGCAAGCACTGACAGAGCCCAATCATACCCAGGGCATAGCCCCAACTTACGCAGCACCTCCCAGATGACAGCTGCAAGGGGAGGCAAAAGGAAACAGGGATAGAAAATCAACGTGTGCAATTTTGACCATGACCCCTCCCCCCACCCATGTAGCTGCCAACCCAGCCACTTACCCTCATTGGCCCTGTTGCCATTCATAAAAATGACACTCAGAATCACCATGAGAAGATCTAGTTTGGGTGTGTCCTTGGTCCTAGGGGAATAATGGGACAGAGAGAAGGTTTACATACAGCAGCCATCTGCAAAACAAAACAAAATAAAACAAAAAACACGCCAGCCAGATCACTAGGCTAGCTTCTCCCAGATTCTTCAGATATGAGAGAATTATGCCCAATCTATGCTTCAAGCTGTATATGATCCTGGGCAAGGCACTTAAGACTTTGAGCCTAGTCTCCTATTCATAAAATGGGAAAATAACATTCTGCTCTTCCCAGGTTACTGAGAGGATAGAATGCTTGTCAGCCTGGTATAATCTAGGCACCCAACCAATGTGAGTCCCTTCTTTCTCTTCCAGACACCTCAGTTCCAAGAGAATTCTAGGCACAGCCCCACTGATGCTCCTGCCCATCAACCATCATGATTCACCCAAACCAGGAAGCCTTCCCTTGAGAACCACTTTACCAAGCCTGATAGGAAGAGACAGGGAAGCTTCTAGAGAAACAGAAAATCTGACAGTAGGAGTAACCAGGCTTCTACACCCTCCAGAAAATCATAAAGGGGCACCACTCCTGTGTGCAGGGCTTCAACTATGTGTGGGTGATAGAAAAGGGGGTTTTAGATTCTGTCTTTCCTGACTTCCTAAGAGGATGTGGAGAAAAGACAACGATGGAGTAGTACCATGAACAAAAAAAAAAAAAAAAAATCAGAAGCCTCCCTCCCACTGCAGCCCTTTCCCAGCTTACATTCTCAGTATGCCTGTAGAGGATTCCTGAATGCTGATGAGAATACACAAGCTACTTTATCAATTTCCTTCAGATTGACTCGAAACATCTGCCAAGTAAAAGAATAGCGTGTGACAAAGATAAACTCAAAATGGATTAAAGATCTAAATGTAAGACCAGAAACTATAAAACTCCTAGAGGAGAACATAGGCAAAACACTCTCCGACATAAATCACAGCAGGATCCTCTATGACCCACATCCCAGAATATTAGAAACAAAAGCAAAAATAAACAAAAGGGACCTAATGAAACTTAAAAGCTTTTGCACAACAAAGGAAACTATAAGCAAGGTGAAAAGACAGCCCTCAGATTCGGAGAAAATAATAGCAAACGAAGCAACAGACAAAGGATTAATCTCAAAAATATACAAGCAACTCCTCCAGCTCAACTCCAGAAAAATAAATGACCCAATCAAAGAATTGGCCAAAGAACTAAACAGACATTTCTCCAAGGAAAACATACAGATGGCTAAAAAACACATGAAAAGATGCTCAGCATCACTCATTATCAGAGAAATGCAAATCAAAACCACAATGAGGTACCATTACACGCCAGTCAAGATGGCTGCTATCCAAAAGTCTACAAGCAATAAATGCTGGAGAGGGTGTGGAGAAAAGGGAACCCTCTTACACTGTTGGTGGGAATGCAAACTAGTACAGCCACTATGGAAAACAGTGTGGGGATTTCTTAAAAAACTGGAAATAGAACTGCCATATGACCCAGTAATCCCACTCCTGGGCGTACACACTGAGGAAACTAGACCTGAAAGAGACACGTGCACCCCAATGTTCATCGCAGCACTGTTTATAATAGCCAGGACATGGAAGCAACCTAGATGCCCATCAGCAGACGAATGGATAAGGAAGCTGTGGTACATATACACCATGGAATATTACTCAGCCATTAAAAGAATTCATTTGAACCAGTTCTAATGAGATGGATGAAACTGGAGCCCATTATACAGAGTGAAGTAAGCCAGAAAGATAAAGACGATTACAGTATACTAACACATATATATGGAATTTAGAAAGATGGTAACGATAACCCTATATGCAAAACAGAAAAAGAGACACAGATGTATAGAACAGACTTTTGGACTCTGTGGGAGAAGGCGAGGTGGGATGTTTCAAGAGAACAGCATCGAAACATGTATATTATCTAGGGTGAAACAGATCACCAGCCCAGGTTGGATGCATGAGACAAGTGCTCGAATCTGGTGCACTGGGAGGACCCGGAGGGATCGGGCGGAGAGGGAGGTGGGAGGGGGGATCGGGATGGGGAACACATGTAAATCCATGGCTGATTCACGTCAATGTATGACAAAACCCACTACAATATTGTAAAGTAATTAGCCTCCAACTAATTAAAAAAATAAATTAAAAAAATTAAAATTAAAAAAAAGAAAAAAGAATAGCGTGTGAGATCACAAAATTCAGCCTAGGCATCAATGAGCTGGCTGAGCATCCCGCAGTTCCCTGTTTACCTAGGATTTGTGAGTGTGTGTGAGAAATCAGTAAGATAATGCATAGAAAGCATTTAGCTAAGTGGCCAGCACACAGCAAACAGATAACAAATGTATTATTGTTACCAAATCATCTTTATGATTAATAGGACTCTAGGGAGACAGAGAATGGGAAATGGAGGGGAGAAGTGAATATCTGAAATATACTACAGGATGTGTCCAGCAGTGAACAGAAGACAGGGTTGAGTTCGGTGGCTTGGGTCTTAGCTGTACCTGCTGTGTGACCCCAAGCTAGTCTATGCCTCTCCCTAGGCCACCATCTGCTCATCTGCATGGGGATGGGACTGGATTAGTCAGTCTCTGTGGTTCCCTGCAAAGGGATGCATACACCTTTGTTCCATTCAAGAGTTCCCCATTGTGCTCATCCCCCAGAGGATACCCCTTCACCTTCTCCAGAGCATAGCTTGCTCGCTCAATGATCTCTGGGAAATATTCATCATATTCTTGGATGACATCCTTCAGCATGTCTGCAGGAAGGGAGAGAAGGGAACAGTTGGGATGAGAAGGGGCCACAGAGCTATAGCCCTTTTGCCAGCCCTGTGGGGTCAGTATAGTCTGAGTCCTGAACTGTGTTAATGGGAGATGCCAGCCATGACAGAGTGTGAAAAGGGCAGGGGTGAGCATGTGAGAGAATGAAGAGGCCATAAAACTAAATGGTTACTCCCATGGCTGGGAGGAGAGGGGAGTAGAAAGGACAGCTTAGGGAGGAGGGTTGGTATGACTCTACCTGAGCGGTTGATGGGGATCTTTGTCTGGTCCTTAACCTACAGGTATTTCACCAATTTATTTTCCTGGGAGAAGAGGAATATAAGGGAGATTTCAATATGTTTTCATAAAACTTAGAAGAATGACAGAGAAGAGGGCAGGTGAAGAAGAGAAGAGACTGAGCAGCATTGGAATCTTACCCTTTCTTGCAAAATGGTCACATCTTGGGATAGCAGAGGCCTCTGGCCCCATGGGATATGCCTATAATTGCCATCACCTCTCTCACCCTTGTTCAGATTCTTGGACTACATAATCAGAAAGAAGGAAGATTCAAAATCACCAGATGAAAGAGATGGCTTTGTCTCCTCATGCTGTCTGTTACTGAAAGTCCCCTAAACCCTCCCTGTAGTGGGTCCTGACTTTACCATTAACAACACTGAGTCCTAGATTTGTCTTTTACTGTCTTCCAGGCAGGAGTTTTATTTTCCTGCCAGACAGGAGCAACCCAAGGGCAGGGTCTGGTTATTTCTCTTTTTTTGGCCACCACTGGCTCTACAAGCTGTACCCCTTCAACAAGTCACTTCATCTATCTGGGACTTGGTTTTCTTATCTGTAAAACTGGGACCTGGCTGGTACAAGTTACTTTAAAACATAAAAATATATCCTGTGTAACTATATCTAACACAAAGCCTGGCACATTCTAACTACTATGTAAATACAAGTTGAATTATATCTGAGTTGTATCTAACGGTATCGATGTCTTATATCCACACCAATCCGTGAACTGCCAAGGAGCAGTAACTACATCCCAATCTTCTCAGCATCTCTCACAGCCTATGTGAATGCAGGGACTGGCTCAGAGTATAAAGACTCAGTAAACTTTTATAGAACAAGTGAACAAACCAGGAGGAAAGCAATGGATAAGAAGTACAAAGTGAGGGTGGTGATGTCAGAGATCTCACTTTTTGGTTCCTCTTTCCCCGGGTGCCGGGGTCCAGCCTCGGCAGGATCCAGGGGGTACCCTCAGGATGAATGGCATTGGCGAGAGAGAGAGAGAAGACACGTGAGACCAGCCTTGATAGGGCCAAGTCTCAGGATGACGAGAGAGAGAGAGAGAGTGACCAGACGAGGGTGTTTACAGCAGAGTCTGGCAGGGTCTGGCAGAGTCTGGCAATGCTTTATTTTTTACCATAGCTTTATACCCTAAATTAGGACATTTATAAGGGGAAGATAGTTTAACATTACATCAGCTTGTCCTTCACGAAACTAGGGTGTTTTTTGCATACTTCTTAGTTTATGAGGGTCTTGTACATTATCTTCTGGCCTTGGGGCCTATTAACATTTTATGCAAGTCAGGTGAATGTAAACCTATTTTCTGTTTCTATGGTGACCTTAACTGAAAGGTAGCAGTCTCATAGGGCAACAGTACAGAGTAGAAGTATAACCTTGTTAACACAAAAATTAATCCTTCTGCAGAAGTTGTCAGTTGCGTTTATCTAAGAAATTTACCCCAGACTGACTCTGCGACTTTGATGAGGCAGCCTCTGCCTAGCACTCCTGGCTGACAATTAGCAACCATCTCACTGTTACCACACTAGGGCTAAGCTCTTATTTCTCTAGATCTTTAACTATATTAACAATGGTTTCTATAACACAACCTTAGCACATTAAAAGCAAAAACACAGCAAGCAAAACACAGCAAGCAAATGTTAACCCAATAGCTACTTTTAGAATAATTTTTCTTGTGTTTTCTAATAGGACTCCTTCACCCCCCGAAGAGCTCTATGTCTGTTAGGGCCTTTATATGATCAGGTTCTTTATGTTATTTTATGATTAGGGTATTATAAGCAATCATGCATATTAGTACCAAGGGCATAAATGCATTTGCCAAACAAACTAAAATACCAGCAAAGGAGTTTAAATTAAAACACTCCTTTCACCCTGGATAATCTCATAAAATACCACCACCTGGGAAACTTATTGATTAAAGTTCTAAATTGATTCTTATTTGGGAAGAGATCAGGGAAGGCCTTCTGCCTGTGTCACAGAAATTAGGGAGTAGTCTATTGAGGCAGGCATCAGAAAGACAGATATCATCTTTAAGGTGAGCACTGGGGGCAGCTTTTCAAAATCCCTGAAAACCTGATCCACCTTGCCTGTCAGGTTTTCTCCCTCATGACCTTGTCATGGGTGGGATCTTGTGTGCCGGCTCCCAGCATCTCCCACTTTTTTATTTTTTAAGACAGCCAGATGAATCTCAGTCGCTAGCTTTTGAGTGCTCTGCTGGAGAGTTCTGACAATGCAAGGAAGGAAGTAAAACTAGGGCTGCTACAGCAGCATAACTGAAGATAGCTGATAGGATATTTTTTCCAGTAATAAAGTTAGAAAAGGTGTGAAAAAAATCATTAGCAGCTCCTGCAGCAGTAAAGTCCAGGTGGGAATGTTCTAAGGTTTTTATCTGACCGTGAAGATTTTCAAGATCTAAACTAATGCTGGAGCTATTCCATACACCTGAAATATGATTTTTAATCCTTTCCCAATTGTAATCTCTATCATTTACTTTCAGGGGTGTTACACAGATCCACCGATAGTCGGCGTGACAGGATAGTGCTAACTTTACCCTTAAAGCCTGCAACTCAGTTCCAATATGCATGACTGCTTCTTCTAGGGCATATGTTTTTCCTTCTAATTTCCTATCTATAATCTCTTGCATAGCTAGAGCTAAAGAAACATTTTTTGACATATCATTGACATATTGAGCAGTATGTACCTGTTGAGTCAATGATATCACTGCCACAGTGACAGAGGTAATTGCTGTTATCAAAGCTGAAATCCCTAGAATAAGTAATCCTACAAACCATCAGGAATGCATTAAATCTTGTAGTTGTTGCAGAACGGCTAAACCGTAGTTGTCATACCAATAGGCATTCACTGTGACAGGCACCATAACGTAGGGCGGACGTTGCAGCACCACAAAAGAACAAATATTATATTGAGGGGTTAAACAGGATGAAAGCATGCATTGTTCACAGTAAACTATATTTGGTCCACCTGAATAATTCATTTGTATATGAAGCCTTTTTGAATCATTAGTAAACAAAAAAATGTAAGGGGAGGGTAAACAAGCCAGCACAGAATAGGTGGAATCGTTTTCTGGCCGAGTTAAAGTAACAATGGAGGTGGCAGCAAGGGCTCTCCAAATTTCTGGTTGCCAAAAGGTTTTGCCCTTAGTAGTATAAGACAACATGGGGGGAACAAATTGATTATAATGCCATCTGCTGGGCACCAATGGCCAAGGGAGGGAATCATTTTTCCAATTGTTAAACCTACTGACATGGTCAGAAACAGATCCTGGATTCTGACTTGGATTTGGATTGCTCCAGTCTTGTACCGAATAGTTTCCGCCTCCCGGTATTCTATAATCTATTCTCGAATTATAAGTACAAGATTTTCATACCAGGTATCCAAGGCGGTTGTCTATAGTTTTCCATATGACATCTGACGAAACAACATCAATACAATTTGGATATTTTGGTGGAGCATTAAGGAACAAGGATTTATAGGGGTCAAGGACCCCGGGCATATGGGCCTGTAATATTCAAACCAGCCGATCTCCTGTTTTGTCTGAAAATTTTGATGCTGGAGAATCTGTCAGAATTGCTTTCTTGGACACACCCCTCCTTAGAGGGAGTGATAAGATCACTTGTATGTCTATGGGGGAAGTTAGAGCAAAGGGGAAGGTCATCCGTTAATCCCCTAAAGTATGGTTAAAATTGACAGGGTAGTGATCCTTATCATAAGAAGTATAGGATCCTCCAAAGAGATGAGGCTGGTCTGTGTTGACCCGTATAGGGTCATTGTTCCAAGTAACTACTTGGAAGGTCGGAGGATCAGGGAAATATGTCCAGTATTTTTCTGATGTAGAAGAGGTAGCACTTGCCTGGCAAGACAGTAAAGCAAGCATAGAAATAAAAACCCTTTCAGGAGAGGCTGAGGATCCCTGTAGATAAGCTATTCCCTGTGCTAGATGGCAAAGTGACTTAATTTGCCCCCATGTGGATATGGAGGCTTGTTGAGTTGCCCGCGCAGGACGTCCTGGTGTTTTCCATTTGTTCTTCCAGGATCTCCATTGCCGGTTGTTTCAGAGTCTGCTGGATCTTCTAGGTGGGCGGCGGAGGCAGGAGCAGAGGAGTGTCCTTCTTCTTTTGTGGTCGAAGCAATGGGGGAACCGGATGTCTGGGGGAATGCGACATGGCGAATCAGTCTGTCTGGGATCCAAATTGGCGAGTCAGCACCCTTCGGGTTCCCTGTTCGTGGCACCACTTGCCAGGGTCCAGCCTCGGCAGGATCCAGAGGGTACCCTCAGGATGAACGGCGTCGGTGAGAGAGAGAGAGAGAAGACACATGAGACCAGCCTTGATAGGGCCAAGTCTGCGAGGGAGAGAGAGAGAGAGAATGACCAGACGGGGGTGTTTGCAGGGTCTGGCAGGGTCTGGCAGAGTCTGGCAATGCTTTATTTTTTACCATAGCTTTTATACCCTAAATTAGTACATTTCTGAGGGGAAGATAGTTTAACATTACATCAGCTTGTCCTTCACAAAACTAAGGTGTTTTCTGCATACTTCTTAGTTTATGAGGGTCTTGTACATTATCTTCTGGCCTTGGGGCCTATTAACATTTTATGCAAGTCAGGTGAATGTAAACCTATTTTCTGTTTCTATGGTGACCTTAACTGAAAGGTAGCAGTCTCATAGGGCAACAGTACAGAGTAGAAGTATAACCTTGTTAACACAAAAATTAATCCTTCTGCAGAAGTTGTCAGTTGCGTTTATCTAAGAAGTTTACCCCACACAGACTCTGCAACTTTGGTGAGGCAGCCTCTGCCTAGCACTCCTGGCTGACAATTAGCAACCATCTCACTGTTACCACACTAGGGCTAAGCTCTTATTTCTCTAGATCTTTAACTATATTAACAATGGTTTCTATAACACAACCTTAGCACATTAAAAGCAAAAACACAGCAAGCAAAACACAGCAAGCAAATGTCAACCCAATAACCACCTTTAGAATAATTTTTCTTGTGTTTTCTAATAGGACTCCTTCACCCCTCAAAAATGCTCTATTAGGGCTTTTATATAATCAGGTTCTTTATGCTATTTTATGATTAGGATATTATAAGCAATCATGCATATTAGTACCAAGGGCATAAATGCATTTGGCTAACAAACTACCAGCAAAGGAGTTTAAATTAAAACACTCCTTTCACCCTGGGTAATCTCATAAAATACCACCACCTGGGAAACTTATTGATTAAAGTTCTAAACTGATTCTTATTTGGGAAGAGATCAGGGAAGGCCTTCTGCCTGTGTCACAGAAATTAGGGAGTAGTCTATTGAGGCAGGCATCAGAAAGACAGATATCATCTTTAAGGTGAGCGCTGGGGGCAGCTTTTCAAAATCCCTGAAAACCTGATCCACCTTGCCTGTCAGGCTTTCTCCTCGTGACCTTGTCATGGGTGGGATCTCGTGAGCTGGGGAACCTGATCAGCCTTGCCTGTCAGGCTTTCTCCCTCATGACCTTGTCATGGGTAGGGTCTCGTGTGTTGGCTCCCAGCACCCAGGTCCTGGTTGTGGGCTCCAAACTAAACTGAGCCAGGTAGTCATCTGCCAGGGCCTGGACAGAAGCAGCAACCTGAGTCTCAAGGGCACTTATGTGGGTCTGAGAGGTATCCATCTTGGTCTGGATCCTTTGGTCAACTTGAGTCTGGCTTTCAGTTGTTTGGGTCTTAGTGTCAACTTTCCGAGCCCTGTACCCTCTCTTGACCCAGAGTGTGGCTGCTAGGGGTTGGTTTGTGACCATTTGACTGGCAGGGGGGCCTCAGAGATCTCACAGGCAGATTTTGGGCCCTCATAGACAACTTTCTTGCCCTTGGATTTTGGAGGCCAGATAGCTGCTGCTGAGGCCTCAGTCTGCCTGGTAGCTATCTCAGTGGCATCTGGGGCCTCTGGGAACTCAGTATCAGTATTTGTGCCCTTAACAATTGCCTTCTTAGCTTTGGAGGCTTTCTTAGTTTGGATGGAGGTAATTTGGCTGTGGGTGGTAGCTGTGTAAATAGTGGATAGAGCCAGTGAGATATCAGTGGCACTAGCTATGACCTTATTGTCAGCCTTTTTAGCCTTGGAAATTTTCTTAGGTATGGTGGGGCCTAACAAGGCTTGAGAATTGGCTGACTCATTGACAATTGGAGCCTGGATAGTCTGAAGAATGACTAGCAGGTTTAGGGTCTGCAAGGGTAACTTGATCTGTGTAGTGACACTCTCACTGTCAATTGGAAATTGGGAGCCTTGGGTTGCCTTAGCAGTAACTTTCTTTGTCTTGTTGGATTTCTTAGGCTGAGCAGTGAATGAAGAAGCCTGAGTATTGGCTACCTTAGTGGTAGCTGAAGCCTGGTTGATCTGGGGAATGATTGGCAGATTTAAAGCTGGAAAAGTTACTTTAGACTTGGTGGTGGTAATCACGCCGGCAGGTGGAACTGGAGGGTCAGTGGGTACAGTCTTAGTGATAGCCTTAATAGGGGCCTTCTTGGTCTTGCTTTTCTTTGGCTGGTTGGCAACTGGTAGGTCCATGGCCAGGGGGTCCTTGGTTGCTGCCAAGAGGGTATGTATCAGCAAGACACTGTCTTATGTTGTCTCAGCCTGTACATCTGGAAGGAAGTGAAGCCCTAGGCTCACAGTGGAAGGCAGAGGACCTTACATACTTAAGACTATGATGTATTGAGCTATCTGGCCTCCCTAGAGCCCACCCTTTCTACAAAACCTCCCCCTCCTTTGAACAACTGATTGAAAGAGAGGGTAAAGAAAGAGAAAGGGAGCAAGAAATAGGCAAGTTTTCCTCACCTCCTCCTCCACCATACAAGGGAGGACTGAAACAGGTTAGGTAGGGAGTTATGCAACTACAGAGTGGTAGGGGCTCAATGGCAGTAAATGAACTCTGAACAGGGTAGATGGCCTGCAGAGAATACAGAGAGGCCTCACCTGGAACAGGGTCATCTTATAATTGGAGTCATTTCTCCTATCCATTTTTTGGAGGGCCAATAAACAGCTGAGCCTGATGGGAAGGGGCCTGAGTTAGGAAAGAATGAAAGGGAGGTGGAGATTCATGTGGCCTCCTGCCAATCCTAAGGAAGGGGTTCTCATCAAACCTTGAGCCCCAAACCCTTCAATTACTGGGTTCTCATATCTAGAAACCCAGATGGTCTGGCTTCCAAATCCGAGCTCCTTTTGCTTCCAAGAAAGAGCATTTCAGTTCTCCGACCCCTTCCCCTTTATCCTACACACACCCCACAAATCTATAGTGCGCATGTGCACCAACCCGAGGTGTAGGGACAATCGCTGGCGCTGAGAGCTCCTGTGCTTTGGTGGACTGAACGGTGACCACCTCAATCCCACATAAGGTCTCTGCTCTCAGAGCAGCAGAACAACTGGACTCCACCCGTGACAAACTCTTTCTAACTGCATGTCATCTCATTCCAACCCTTCTCCCAACACTTCCCCCTTCACCTCCGCTCTGCAGTACCTCTTCTTACAGCCCCTTCCACCTCTCCTCTGCAGTACAGTGGTGCGCCACACCGCCCCTTTTTCGAAACGCCCCCTCCCTCCACTCTACAGTACTTCCCCGTACCTCTTCTTCCCTTTACATGCTCCCTTCCTCCGCTCTGCAGTTAAGTCCCTGCATGCCTCCTCCCCAGCACTGCTTTCCTACTTCCACGTCTGCAAGTGACCATCCCGCCCTTATTACAAACAAGGTTGCCCCACCCATAAATCCAACGATATCAGGCTTTTGTGTGACCCTTGTTCTGCTACCAGGTTCTGTCCCTTTCCTTTTCAAACCGGTATCAACCGAGTCCTAGCCCCTCTTTTCTTCCCTCCAAGCCCATTCATTTCGATTATTCAATAGGGATTCTGCCCCTTCTTTTTTCTACCTCCAAATCGCTACTTTCTGTGGCCCAAACCAGGTCCTGCGACTTTTCTCCATTTAATAAAGCCCCTCATTGCCTATCTCCCTGCTAAATTGCATTCTGTTCCTTTCTTTATGTGGCCTGAACGATTTCTCCATCTCTCTTTTCTGAGGTCTCAACCAGATCTGCATCCCTCCTTTAGGCACCCCTAACACCCACTTCCCTGGTGGCTCAGACTGTAAAGCTGCTGCCTACAATGCCGGAGACCCGGGTTCGATCCCTGGGTCAGGAAGATCCCCTGGAGAAGGAAATGGCAACCCACTCCAGTATTATTGCCTGGAAAATCCCATGGATGGAGGATCCTGTTAGGCTACAGTCCATGGGGTCGCAAAGAGTCAGACACGACTGAGCGACTTCACTTCTTCTTCACAACAGAGTCCAGACCTCTCCTTTCCATTGCCCAGAAGAAATTCTACATCTATCTCCCTTGCTATCTGAGTCAGTTCAGTTCAGTTCAGTTCAGTTGCTCAGTCGTGTCCGACTCTTTGTGACCCCATGAATCGAGTCAAAGCACCTCTAAATCCGACGCTTCCATGAGTTTAGCGAGTATATTCTTCAGCGGGTTTCCTTCAAACCTTAGGGGAATGTGGAGTCAAGCACGTTGAAATCCCAGCCTGGAGGCCCCCACAAGCTCTTCAGTATAGCAGGGCACTTTAGCTCACCTCTCCAGTCCAGAAAGTGTCCTGTCTCCAAGCCTCTCCTTAGGTCTGTGCCTTGCTTCTCCCCCTCTCCAGCAGGAAGTGACCCTGCCTCTTTCCGCCTCCAGAGGGGTCTCCTTCACAGGCTGTCAGCCTCCTCCCACACTCCCTGCTTCCAGCTTTCTTTTCTCCCCATGTGATCTCTTTTCTGCTTACTATCTCTTATTCAGCAATCACTCTCTTCTATTCTCCTTTTGATTTCTCTATCCCCATCCTGTATCCCCATTCCTATTTGGCTCCTCTGTTCTCCCTAGGACCATGCTTCTCTGGGCTCCCACACCAATGCTTTCTACAGCCCCCTCTATCCAACACTAATTACATAGTGTGTTGTGTGTCTGGGTCTCTCGCCCCAGGAGCTGCTCTGGGGTAAGAGATTAGATCTTATTCATTTCTATTGCTCAAGTAGGACAAAATTAAGACATTTGGAGGCTCTAAACGCTAAAAGTTAGGGTGCCCCTGCATCATATGTAATTCAGAATAAAAACAGTAAATGTAAAAACGTCTACCAATTTTTTTAATTTATCCCCTAATGACTATGTTAATACTTTTAATGCATATCCACTTGGCTGAAAACTTTTACTGGGGCTGTGTCTTTACTGGTACACTAAGCAAGTGCTTAGCCTGTCTCTCTTATGGAATGGAGCACTGCTCCCCAGTGCGGGAAAAAGTTCTTCTCAGGCATTCATTTGCTCAGTCATTCATTATTTGTTGAGCACAGTTGTGTCTGACTTGACTGGCAGGTTTAAATCCAAGCTCCTAAGCCTATCATTCATTCAGGGCTCTCCATGATTGGCCTCTGCCAGGCTCACAGGCCTCACTCACAATTGGATGACTCATATTCTGCATTCTGCCAATGCCACACCTTTGCTCAAACTGTTCCTCTACCTGGAATGTCTTTGTTCCTCTCTCCCACACACCATGCCTGCTTATAAAAGGTCTGCCTTCCTATAAAAACTGGTACAAATGCTGCTTTCTCCAAAATAAGCTTCTGAGACTACTCTAAGTTTAGTCTTTCCTTCCCCCTTACTCTTTTGCATGGCTCTATCAGAGCACTTAATAAACTGGATGAGAGCTCTCTGTTTACTGGTTTACTCTCTGTCTTGCCTTCTGGATGATGAGCTTCTTGTGGATCCTTCATGCAGATTGGATTCACCTCTGAGACCCCAGAACTCATGTCCTAACTCACAGAATAGACATTAGAACAAAATACTACATTTCCTCTTCTGCTATTTCACTCTCTCCTCCTTTTATTTAATTTCTTTCATTGCCACTTTTTGTTTTTACATTAAGCCATACCTAAATCTGCTGCCATCCCCAAACTTTCCTAATATATATTACAACAACACCCCCCCCTTAATTCAGTTTTGAGTTGAATTTTCTGTTTGCAGCCAAAAGCATACCTATACAAAAATTGGTACCAAGTTTTTATGGGTAGAACTTCTGCAGAGGGCACAGGTTAGAAAAGTACAGAGAATGAGGTATGTTGACTACATCTAGGAATCCTCAGAAAAAGAATCTACTAAAAAGAAATAAGCAGAACTTGAGACTGGCCTGATTAAAAACCAATAAGCATTAATTAAGGAAATAAAATTACCATGAAATAAAATACCACTTTATCTATTAAATTAGTAAAAGCTAAAATAATCTTTTTAAAAGGAAGATTGATAGTATATACTGTTAGGGAGAGTATCAGAATATAGGCAATCCCATTCACTATTTGTGGGAGTATACATTTGTCCAACTATGATATCTAGTAAAATTAAAGGTAAATAAATGTATAATCCCCAATTCCACTATTATGTAGTACCCAAGAGAAACATGTTCCTAATAATCCATGAAAATGAATGTTTATTGCAACATTGTTTTTAATAGAATTAGAACACTATCCCAAATTTAAAACAAAGAAATAGGCAATTTTGATAAGTAAATTGTAGCATAGTTATTCAATGAGATACTATACAACAGTTAAATATGTATCAAAATGGATATTTACCTACTATGTATTTGTGCTAAGTTGCTTCAGTCATGTCCAACTCTTTGCTCAGTAGCATACAATTTATATACATGTGAAAGTATGCTATACATTCTTATAGATACATATATATACAGTAATAGTGTAAAATATGCACAGGGAGGGAAATAGTTATGGGATTTGGAAAGAGGTACAGAAGCATCTTTTAACTCTAAAATATTTTATGTAATTAAAAATACATAAATCTAGCAGGGCTTGGTAGGCCTTGACATCATAGAAACTAGTAGGCAGGGATTTTTCTCATTAGTTGGTGCCTATGTCATACAGGTTGTTATATTTTGAATATCACCTCTGGAAACAACTTTATAAAATGTTAGGATTTGATAGGAAGCAAGTGTATATGTTATAGTCTGTACATCAATGTATTAAAAAAATTCAGCTTGAATATTAACTGTGCTATCAATCAATTTATATATAAATTTGGGAGACACTAAAGTTTTTATAGTGCTACATCATCCTATTCTTAAATATGGTATATCTATCCATGTATTCAGGTTACCTTTTATGTCTTTCACAATAAAACCTAAAATTTTACTAAAAGATACAACTGGTTAATTATCAACATAGTGTTGAACAAAAGTAAATATTGAATGAGATATAAATATAGGATGATATTTAAAATATAGTGCTCTTGGGAGACCCAATTCTGCAATGGAAGTGTAAGCCTCCCTAGAAACCGCATCCCCCATTAATTACACCTATAAACACTGGACAAAATTTTAAAAATAAAAATCTCACTTGAGGACTCTGAGAAGTAACCAAAAAGGAGGCAAATGGTGGAAAAGAGTGAAAACATAAGAGGGTAAGCTATTCATGTTTTTTTCTTTCTCAACCTTGCAAGGTAACTGTCTTATTGTGGATTAGAGAAGTACATGTAGCTAAAACTCTGATGGAAAACCTGCCATTTTTCTGGCCAGAAGAACCTCTCAAAGGAGCATGAGTATGATGCAGTGCAAAAGAGAAATCTCAGGAGGAAAAGAGACAGAGAAAGTATCCCATATCTTTGGATAAAACCATTCTTACTGGACAATGCATGTGCAGAAAGCAACCAAACAAGCAAATCAAAGGTTTTGAGAAATGAACTGAGATTTGAATCACAAAAATCTCAGCCTAAACCCTGAACCACACATGCACACACATGTCCAAACCAGCAAATAAAAGGCTTTGAGAGCTAAACTGAGATTTTAACTATAGTATAGAAAAGATAATGCAGAACTGATGGCCAGAATCTAACCAAATAGATTGCCTACTAAAAGAAAAGTATCGTTTTTCAGAGGATTATAAAAGAACAAAGAGTCTACACAAAGCATATTCAATGTCCAGGATAAACAG